GATATGAATTAATGAATAAATAATTAATGAAAAAATCTCATGTAAGTGTACCTAAATTTACCTTTGGCCTAAATAAATCATATGTATTTACAAATTAATTCTGTTTGTTCACATTAATTCGCACAATACTGTACTTAATAGTATGTATTTTGTTTATCTGGCAAGCACCGATATTTTAACTATTAAACCTCTAGTCTAGATTACTTAAATTGAAGTGAGTGCGCTAGCTCGCACAGCTATCGGATCAGCTACAATAACTAAGTGTTCTTAGTTAGTTATAAATAACTAATTTAGTGTTACATTCAAATAATCAATGCAGCACCTTGTAAAATTCACAACTAACTTACCCAATGTATCCTGAGCTGAGAGGTGTATTGGCTTCTTGTGCGCTGTGCGCTATCGGGTGACTAATATACACATTTTCGGTTGCTTGAGTATGTGGCATCGTAGAATCGAAAGGCACCTGAGGTCTTGAAGGCAATGAATACTGAGACCGGCCATAGGGCTGTCTGCTGGAAGGAGTTGAATCTGTGCTACATTGACTTAAGGTCGCTGTATTTATTGGGGTTGCTATGGCTGTAAATAATATAACAGTTGTAGATCTTGTAATTCAGTGTTTAATGTAAATAAAAAAATATTCATATTAAATTTCACTGGCTCATTGAGGTTAAATTTTAATAAATATTCTTTTGTACACATATTTGTGTAGTATTTGATTATATAACATATGACATAATATAAACATATACTTACGTTCCCTGGGAGGTTTGCTATCCACAGGAAATGAAATTGGTTTCGAGCGTAAGGAGTTTCTATGTACTTCGTCAGCTGTGGAAACAAATGAACAATTAAATGTTTCGTATTAGTTGAGATAACAATTAATATAATTATATGCTAAGAACAGTTTTATCTTCTTTATAAAATAGAGAACTCAGTTCCGACGCAGAGGCCAAAGTAAAAACACCAACCAAGGCGAAGAAATCAAATAAAAGCAGCCATAAGAAAAAATCACAGCCACCTAGGAAAAGATCGTTGCCAATGCTGCCACAAGTTCACCAAAACCTAGAAAAACTGCTGCTGTTAAGAAAAAGTAATTGGACTATTAGTTACGAATTATTAAAATCTAACGTCTTTTGATGTTGTCCCAACACTTTGCCTCCCAGGCAAATCTTTTTCTGTCTTCCATAGGTTTCTGGTACCTATGGATTTAGTCACTGGTCTTTGGCCTTCCTCTTCTCCGACGTTTTGTCGGTTTTCAGTTCATTACTTATATAAGGAATCTTATTTTTGACATCCTTTAAATGTGTCTATATCATGTTAACTCTTTTTTTTCGAAGTCATCACTGTAATGGTTCCTTCAATACCCATCATTTCCTTATTTCTGATTCTCTTGAAATTCTAAGTGATCTTCTCTGCATCCATTTCAACACCTAATCTCTTTTTTATATACTTCGGTTAGTCTGTAATTTTCGGATCTGTACAAAAAACCACTGTTTACCAAATGTTTCATAATCATAGTCTCTATCTTTTGGGCTTACGGTATACATGGAAGGTAACAGGGCCAAAGCTTTAACCGCCTATTATTACGAATGGTTTTACCCAAGGTACTCATTTTATTTAGATCGAGTCGACCTGGAGCCTGTAAATATTTGGTAATATCCAGATGCTCTAGCTGACGAGACGCTGTGTGCGTTCATAACGAAGCGCCGACCCTCAATCGGACTATAGGATGGTATCATTTTATCATCGCTACGTAAAATAAATGCATTATTTTAAATGCGAGCGTTCACTGTCAGTGCTATGCTCTAGGCGAGGATAACCATGCGTTGGTCTCCGTAATGAACGCACCCTAAGCTATCCAGCCTAAGATATCCAAGTTTCAGATATGTAAAATTTTCTTTGTGATATTTTTATTCTATATAATGACATTAAGAGGAGGAGGAAGAGGAAATTAAGTCAGCATTAAAAGGTATGAAGAACAACAAAACACCTGGAGAAGATGGCATTGTAAGTGAAATGATAAAACTAGGAGGCGAATGCGTCATAAAGGCTTTAAAAACCCTTTATAATGCCTGCCTCTTTGAAGGAAATACGCCAGAAAAATGGAATAATGCTTCTTCTTCTTCTACTTTTTGTAGATCTTTCGATCTGTTTAATTCTGAAGCTGCCTCTGGTTAATTTCTTGGGAGGTAGATTGCCAACTATCCCTCCATCTTTTAGGTGGTCTTCCGGGGGGTCTTGAACCAGGCGGATTGTTTTCTAGGGCAATTTTTGGGAGTCTATTCTCATCCATTCGTCTTACATGGTTGTACCACATCCTCTTGCGCTGTCTTCCCCATCTTACAATATCTTGAATTTTGCACTGCTCTCTAATGTTTGTATTTCTCACTCTGTCCCTTCTTGTTTTCCCCATTATTGTTCTTAGGGTTTTCATTTCGGCAACCCTTAGCATCTGTTTCGTTTTGTTGGTATCTTCGCGCACTTCTATGCCATATGTCATGATCGGTCGTATGCAAGTCTTATAGATTCTAATTTTACTATGTGTGCGCATATACGGATTAGACCAGACTATCTCCCGCAGACATCCTGACAGTGCAGATGCTTTGTTGATCTGACTCCTCAGGTCCTTTACTGGGTCATGGGTGCTTGATATATCTATGCACCTACAGACCTATCAACTTATTATCTCATTTATATAAACTCTTTATGAGAATAATTACTAACAGACTGGGACCTAAGCTAGATTTTCATCAACCTCTAGAGCAGGCCGGATTTAGGAGTGGCTTTGGAACAAATGACCACCTACAAGTAATAAAATCCTTGATAGAGAAAGTTATAGAATACAACAAGCCATTGATATTAATATTTGTAGACTTTGAGAAAGCATTTGACTCAGTCCAGCATAGCTCCATGTTAAGAGCTCTTACAGAGTGCAGTATTGACCATAGGTACACAACTCTTCTTCGAAATATATATGATAGCGCAACAGCTGCTGTGAAAATGTACTATGGTGACACAGACACATTTCCCTTGGAGAAAGGTATTAGGCAAGGAGACACTATCTCTCCTAAACTATTCACCGCCCTATTACAGAGTGCTATGAGAAAAAATAATTGGGAAAATATTGGATTAAATATAAATGGGGAATTTTTGAACAACTTGAGGTTTGCAGACGACATAGTCCTTATTGCAGATCAGGTAGATCATGCATGCCAACTTCTTCAAGACCTTCAGAGCTCTTGTGCACGAGTTGGCCTTAAAATTAATTTTTCCAAAACACAATACATGACCAACCTGGTACTGGCAAAAAACATTTCCACTAATGGCACGCAAATTGAACAAGTGTATTCCTATAAGTATCTGGGCCACGAGATTAAATTGGGAAGAGACAATCAAACAACAGAGTTAAAAAGGAGAATAGGACTGGCATGGGCAGCTTACGGAAAACTGAGGGAAGTCTTTAAATCAGCTATTCCCATGTGCTTGAAGAGAAAAGTTTTTGATCAGTGTATACTTCCAGTTCTGACATATGGAGCAGAAACATTGACACTTACCAGAAAAGTAATTAATAAGATACAAGTGACACAGAGAGCGATGGAGAGGTCAATGTTTGGCGTATCACTCAGGGACAGAGAGAGTTTCGAGTCAGATAGTAAGGAGAAAAACTGGTGTGACGGACGCAGTTGAAAGAATTACAACCCTGAAATGGAACTGGGCAGGACATGTTGCTAGGGTCAGAGATGGAAGATGGACAAAGAAAATTTTAGAGTGGAGGCCTAGACACGATGCTTATCGTAGTCGAGGACGTCATCCAACAAGGTGGTCGGACGATTTTAAAGCGCATCCAATCTAACTGGATTCAAGTTGCTCAAGATCGGATGCAATGGAATTATTTACGGGAGGCCTATGTTCAGCAGTGGACACAAAATGGCTAATGATGATGATGAATGACATTAAGGCAGGATATTAAAACCTACGGGTCAAAGAGCCCTTGTTGCTTTAGAGCTGATATCTGCGAAAAGCACACTGATCAAAGATACTCCACGATACTCAATCTCTTGACAAGGATAGTGGTATTCTATTCATGGTCGGGGGTGGAATTGTTTATTTTATATGAGTGAATGAAAGAGTCGGTTTATTAGGATTTACTGAATATTTTTTTCAACAAGGTTTGAGGCATTGTTAATTATTTATTTTGTGCTTTTATTTGTCTTCGCCAATACCTGCTTGATTTTGTTAGTTTTATTATTTAACAAATCGTCCGATTTTTTCGGTGACAATGCATTATAGTAGGGATCAAAGAGTAACATCGAGTAAATTCTCGTCGAGCATTCGTTAAGCACTCACGTTGGAATGAGTGCGCTGGCCAGCAAGGTCATCGAATCGACGTTTTTAACAATACTATTTAACATCGAAAATAGTTATTCTTTTATTAAAATTACCACTGTAATATAATCAACGATATGTCCTATATACGTCATCAGTACGTCTTATTACAAAGATAAACTTATTAAAACTTATTATTACATGACTTTTTCATGACATGACTACGAGAGACAGAACAATACTTTATAAATACTATTTGATGTTACAAATCGTAGTAAAATATCTACTTCTACTAGGAATTTAAAATATTGTAAATTTAAGAATTATAATATAATTAATTATATCGAAACAGATACTTACATACATAATTTGGCACATAAGTGCTTTTATCCAAAGAATTTGTATTTACTGACTCGTGATGATCATAATCGTTACCACCTATACTTCTTGGCAGCGTCATAGCTCCACTGCTACTAGCACCGTCGTTTTGTGAGTGTCTTTTCTCCATAGCCTTTAGTTCCATCTGATCGTGATGAATCCAGAGGTCGGGTGGAATATTCTGACCATTCTTCGATCCTTTTTGGTAACCCTAAATCAAAAAATATCCTTTATACTGCTGACCTGAATTAAAATATATACTCAAAATTTTTTTATAACTTTTATTATCTTTAACAAAGTATCTCACAATTATAACATTTACATTAATAAATAAATTAAGGGAGATGCATTGAGCTCTTTTATATTCGATATGACCATGGAAGAAATAAAAAAAAAATTAAATAAAATAAATGGATATAAAATTGAAGAAACCGAAATTAACATTTTATACTAGATAAACGATGCATTGCTAGTAGTAAACAACGAAAACGATCTGGAAAGACAATTTAATAGAACAGCGAAATGTTCAAAAAAAATCAGCCAAAAATCAGAAAAATCAAAATGATATTTTTTTTAAGGTACATTTTGTTTTCGACAAAGCTACAGCTTAGGTTTAGCATAAACGTCTGGATAGGAGTAGTTAACGATTATCTACTTAGGCATCTAGAGTTGCTTGCTTGTTTAAATGGTGCTGATTACTTACATTTCCTGCATAATGTACCTGATTCATTAGATGATGTGCCTTTAAATATTCGGCAAAACTTATGGTTTCTACATGACGGCTATCCGTCCCATTTCAGCAGGAAAGTACTAGACTGTCTTGATAATAACTACGAAGATCCCTGGATTGAAAAAGGCGGTCCAGTTGCTTGACCAGCAAGTTCGGCGGATTTTAATCTTTGCGATTATTGTGTTTGATGACACATAAAAGCATTTGTTTATCCCGTTCCGATACAAAATCGTACATAACTAATGCAAGATGCTTGCAACGAATTTAGAAATAACTTTTAAATTTTTCGGCGGCGTTCTGTAAGCAGAAGGGCAAATTTATGCATAGAGACTAAGGGAGAGCGCCCACCAAAGTGGCGTGGCAGTGGCAAGTAGCAAGTAGCACGCGTTTAGCATAATGTAACCAATGAAAACGAATGATTCAGCGCTCACCAAAATGATAGTGACGTCATTCATTCTAATAATTTTTTTTCATTGGTTACATTTAAAAATAACATGCTAGATGCGTGCTACTTGCTGCTTGCCACTGCCACGCCAGTTTGGTGGGCGCTCTCACTAATGTTTATCACATCGAGCATCTTTTTTAACTATCTACTTTTGATACTTATTCTTTTGTGTTAGTTTTGTTTCATCGTTTGTTTTTAAAATCATTTAAATAAAATTTTGTTTCAATTTGATTTTTTGCTTCTTTTTCCAAACTTTTTTTACGAATTGTGTGCTGTATTTATTGAAACAAAAGATAATTTATAAAATAAATTAAGGTACCTATTAATTTATTTGGAAATATATTTTACCTGTTTTGTTCTGTCTGGAGAAGTATTATTATCAGTTCGTCTGCAGCAAATGAAAATAACAACACCAGTTATGGTCACAACTGCTAATAAACATCCAGCTATAGTTGTATATAGAAGTATGTCTTTAGAAAAGACTCCTTTGGTATCTAAAACATTAATAAATTTAGTGCCATTCGTATAGTTTTTCTTACATATTTACATCATTATCTACAGTGCTTTTGCAATTTTAACTAAGTATAATGAAAAATAAAACAAATCCTAACCTAACTGCTGGCCTTGAGGTGAAGACGATGTTACACCTATTAAAATAAATAATAAAAAAATAAATAAAAGGATAATAAAGATAAAAAATAAATAAAAATAAAAAAAGTAATGTTAAGATTATAATTTATAAAAAGAAAATAAAAAGGTAAATGTTTTATTTCTATTCACTTTTAACAGGCCTTCTTGCCCATTCCCTTATAGTTTACCTTCTATTGAGTATTTATGTAAGCATTTCGATTAGTAACTTTCTATTCAAATATGTTTAAACACAAAACATCTTAAAGTGCCGAATTTTTAAACTATTTTTAATTTGCTTTATAGTGGATGTTACTAGGATAACGTGCTAACCAATTCATAAATTCATCATTTATTTTTAATAGGCGCCAGAATTTATTTGTAAAATGTATACAGAACTTATCAATTATCAATGATTGCAGGTTTTCGCAGAAAAGGAAGAATTTTACGGAGAGGCTTACAGAAAGTGCCCCATAAATGGCATAAAAATATCGTTGGTTATATTATGAATGCGAAAGTCCAAAGAGAGCTTATGTACATGAAGAAATGAATGATAATGGAATAACAACCGTAAGCAGTGCGGGATATTTAAACATGACTCTAGCTGGCACATATTTCAAACATAAGGACATTCTTAATATATATCACATAAAAAATAATAAGACATACAAGTTAAATAGAGAATAGATACCTTAAAAAACACAAAAGACATGGCGAGACTGGTCCTGAATAGGGAACTTCTTGCCTTGCCCTATCCCCATTGAACGTTGGCGATCACCCTAGCCCACAAAACCTTATTCATGGTTTCCCTAAATAATTCCAACATGGTTGTTCCGGTTCACTGTTTCAAGTTCCTAAGCCAAGAAATAAGTCGTACACCTGATCCTCTTTTTCATTTCACTTTATCCTGCATAATAACGAAAGATATGGTATTTTCCTTTCACATTGTGTGGCCGAATTATGACAATTTTCTTTGTTTTAGCGTTAAAAGTAGTTGTTTACCTATCCTTTGCAAGACAGCTTCATTGATGACATATGTCCTCAATACTCGTAATATTCTACGGTAGCACCACATTTCCAAAGCTGTTATTTTCTTACTGTGGCCTATGACACAATACAAACTTCCACGACACACAAAAAAAGTTGAAGAGTGATTCTAATATGGATTTCATGAATCTTCGTTCAGGTTGCAGCCCAGATATGTGAAATATGGAACACTGCTAGGATATTTTAAGAGAAGTCAAGATTCATTAAGGACTGTAGAGCTATAAAGCACAAGAAGTGACTAAACCCATCTGATCGTTTTGTGTCCATTATTCATACAATTCCCATAAGCGATTCATATTATGGACATTTACTGTAAACAACGATCAAAATTTTTCAGATACAAGACAAGGGCTTTAGGCTGAATTTCTAAGAATCCACAAATAATCAAATACATGTTGAAATATATCACTTGTGAAAGATGTGCCAACAGCAAAAATAAAAAAAAATAGTTCTAAGCGTTTTGTTCATATAATGGTTTATGTATTTTCCCGAGTACTCTTATAATACTTGCAATAAAGCTAATTGCAGTAGCATGTTGATTAAAGTCTTAAGAATCAAATTATAGAACAAACTAGTACATTTTACTTGTTTATTTCAATAATGGATCAGTAACTTACTTTGTCCGGTTCTAAAAGAAACAATTTCTGAGAATGGTCCATAGCCTCTACTATTTCTGGCTTGTATTTTAAAGTGGTACTGAGTAAATGGTTTTAAATTATACAAAACGCTGGAATGAGTGTCTCCCTTTACTGCCGATGCGTTCCATTCTGTATCCGACAGACTTTTATTATCCGTATACAAAATGACATAGCCGGTGATTCGTCCCATATAAGTCTTTGGCGGTTGCCACGTCAATTCAACAAGTTGTGATTCTTCGTCTTTGAAATGGGCATCGACTTCTCTAGGGGCTACGTTTAATGGTAGTTCCCAGGTTCGGTTGTGAGCAACCATACTCCATGAACTCTCTTTTCGACCTAAAATTATTTTTTATATAATTAAAATACATTCATATTCATTATTAAAATACACATGCAGTCAAACACAATGATAAATTTTTCGGCTCTTATATTAAAATGAAGTAAATGGTAAAAAAATTCTTGAAGAGACTAATTCAATATTATTTATGTCGATAATATAGCTGCTGAGTGTATGGAGCTGAAGATAACCGTTATAAAACCAACATCTTGAAAACAGTCGTAACAGAAGAGAGATACAAGAGCAATTACACAAATATCACACTGGACGATGAAGGTTCAAACACTATTTCAGTTTCAAATTCTTAGGAATCGAGGCATGCAACAACAATTCAATCAAAGAAGAAATAAAGCCAATGATAGCAGATGTGAATATGTGTTTTTCGCATTAAGTAAAATATTTAAAGTCCTACTACAAAGTAGTAGGACATTGCGGTACCCTATGGGACTAAAAAACTTGGTTTCTTAAAAAGGAGAATTAAGAATAACAACGCAGATAGAGATAAAGATTTTAAGCGGTCTACGAGGGCGTTAACCAGTAAATAACAGCGATTTGGTCATGACATGAAGAATCTTGACTATGATCAAAGCAGCCAAACTAAGATAAGCAGAGAGTGAAGTGCCTTGATAACTCGCTCATGTGTTCTGTTCCAAAAACATACAAACAAAAAACATACAAATATATTATCAGACCAATAGTATGTTATGGATGCGAGACATGGGTGATGACAGAAAATATAAAAAGAAAGCTGAAAGTCTTTGAAAGAAAAGTCATTAGTCAGGTAGATATTTGCATCTATCAACAGAAAACAGAGTATGGCGACGCAGGTATAACCATAAACTCTATCGACTGTTCAAAGAGGCACCGATCTCAGAATTATTTAAACTTCAGAGACTTCGATGGGCTGGTCATATCGGGAAGGTGGGAGGATGAAGTGGCAGTGGACACTCAAAATTTGCTAGAAGTGAGAACCTAGTAAAGATCGGCGCGGGAGAAGCAAGGTTGGAAGCATAGTTTGAAGGGGGCCAAGATTAAACTTAGGGTGTAGTACCATTGGAGAGAGAGAAAGAGAGAAGTGCCGAGGAGGCGCAATTTGCTAAATAGGTTTTAGTGTGTCATGACTTAGTCTATATTAAAACTCTAGATGTAAAGTGAAATTTTTACCAAATGTCCCAAAATGTTTTAGTGAAATATCATGTAAAAGATCCTACATATAGTAAATATGTAAAATAATTACACTCTATAACAATTATACTCTATACCATACAATACTTTCCGAGACAAATTAGTGACATTCCAAGCAGTAGAAAAAGAGTACGGGTTTATTTGTAAGAGGAACGTACTAAATGAAGCAGTTCTTCGATTGTTTAAAGTGACTCATATGCATCAAAACATACCAATATCAGAAAATTTAATAAAGCAAAGGACAAAAAGACAATTTGCCAGAGGATTTAACTAAAATCATTTTCAATCTAGTAAAGAATGGTTGTATTCCTGGAAAACCCGCAATGGAATTAACTTCAAAACGGTGTATGATGAAAGTGCAAGTGTTAGTCAGGAGAACTCTTAACATTTGGATTGAAACTATTTGAAAAATGTATTGAAAAAAAAATCAATCAAGAACGTTTTTAATTGTGGAAACAAAATTGTTCTTCAAATTTTTGTCGAATAAAACTCTCAAAACTTAGTTGATACATTTTTTTTGTGTTAAAACTAGTTAAGAAAGGACAAAACTTCTGGTTGCAGCAAACATGGATGGCTCAAAAAAATTGAAATTATCCACGTTGTTTAAAGGGAGTTAAATCTCTAGTGGATTATGTTGATACTTAATAAAAATGCATGGATGGCTTAGGAGATTTCCGAAAAATTGATCAAAGAATTGCATACGACAATGATAAAACAAAAAAGAAATATTGTGATATTTATAGATAACTCTTCTGCACATTTAGTTGCTGTAGGTAAAAAATTCAATTTTGAAAATTTAGAAAATCTAGTTAATGATTTAAAATCAGAGTTTTTTGTTTATGAAATAAAATTATTAATATAATTTAAACACTTTAATAATACACTCTTAAGTATTTGAAAAAAAAAAAAACTTCAAATAAATACTCTAAATAAACTCTAAATATATTTGAAATAAAATAATCTTAAAAGTTAAAATAAAATAGTTAATTATCTCAAAATAATTATTTATTAGTTTAACTATAATAAAGTTTAAAAAAATTGTTACCAGATAACATGACATTATTTTTCTTTAAATTGTAACTTCTGTATAATGTTTGGTTAGCTACAAAAAGGACATGTCAAACGTGGAATCCGTGTCAGTTCAATGAATCACAATCTAGAGGCGAATGAGGAGATATATAACCAGGCTTTGCTTTTGACCGAAGTCATGTTTTCGGCATGTGCAGCAGTGACGCGTTGAGTGTTGAGTGACGCTTTAAATCGAGAATTGGAAGGTGAAATTGAATATGATCGGGATGCAGTGAAGCAATTAGTTCGAACAAATGTACCTAAGCTGAACCCACAACCGAAGGAATTGGTCGTTAAGTTAATGAAGTTAACTAACGAGAAACATGGCTATGGGTAATGGCATTATTCTTGTCGACGAATCCAATGGTTTTATTTCAATTCCAGTAAATTTTTAACATTTCGTCTCAACGAATGACGAGCTCATTAATAATAAAGTGTTCTCAAACATCATGACTAACCAGAAAAATCATAAGCAAAGAACACGGATATAGATGGTATACACTTATAATTCAAAATCAAATCGTTAGTCCACTGCATTCCTTGAAATCTATAGTATATAAAACACGCAACGATACTGAAAGGAAATTTTAAGGATGACGCAGTTTTATTTCGAGAATTCCGATAATAGCAACCGATATGCCATTCGATTTTACTATCCTCTTCGTCCTGCCATAATTGGTGGAATTCATTTCGAAATGGTAATCGCCAGATTTGGTACTAGACTTAAATATTGGTAAATGAGGTATATTTAATGAATTCCATTCCACCACCATGTGGCCACTGTGCACATATTTCTCATCAAGAAATATCGTTGTCAGTCTATATCTCACATGTTTCTTCAGATGTTTAATTTTTCACAATCAATAGTAGAGTAATACTACTACTTTCACTAATAATAAAGTTAGTAAAGTCGTCAGAGAGTTGAAACGTACGAAGAAGCTGAATTTTGCAGAGAATATTAATTTTGAAACAAAAAAAAAAAAATGCAAAAAAACGTTACTACTTTTACCCCCGGGCTTCCCCCTAAAACCCCAATCGCAGAGGGGTAAAAACGCAAAAAAATCGATTTACCAATAATCTGTACACCACAGAAAAAAAATGTTTCAGATAAAAAATGTAGCTGATATAATTTTAAACAAAAATATTTATAAACATTTTTTGTGTAGAATGAACCGTTCTCTTAGAAACAACGCTTGAAGCGACCGTCGATTTTGCATATCAGTTAAGAACGCGAAATTAATGTTCAATAAAATTTTGATTAAAATATCTTAAAATAATTTTGATTATTTCCTATCGACAAAAATCAAGATTCGTTTTAAAGGAAAAGAGTGCAGCTTTCGTATGCAGCTTTTATATTTTGCCGAGAATAAACTCAGTTTTTATAAAGGTGTTAAATAAATTAACGTGGCGCAATTTTTGCCGTTTTTACGATTCTCGCGAGATCAATAAAATTGATCAGTTTCATTGAGCAGTCGTAGTAAAATTTCTATTTTTAGAGATCAATCTATGACATGAAATTTTAATTTTGAATTGTGGTACAATATGAGGCATTTGAAATATGATTAAAAGACGCAAAATTTAATGTTCTACATACATAATAAACGATCACACGTCACGGGAGATGCATTTGAGAAGACTGTTTTGGGTGTAGTTTATTGCAGAAGTTTTAAAAAAAGAAGAAAAAAAGTTTTAAATCTTTTAGGTCGTTTGTTGTGTGAATGTTTAAATCCAGCTCTTTTTAAGGATATTTCAAATGCCTCACATTTGTTGCCAAAACTAAAAACTAAAATTTCATAGTACATGTTTTAAAGATTTTTTTATATAATTTGTTAATTATATAAAAAATGGCTAACAAATAAAACATCTAGCAATAGAGTATCATATCAAATGAAAAACGGAGAAGTACGCCAGCAAATAAAAGAAGCAAAAAACAATTTCTGGGAACAAAAATGTGTCCAAGTTGAAAATTTAATGGGTGGTTCTCAGACAACGGAAGCATGGAGAACTATCACTAACCTAAAGAAGAACACCCATAACTCATTAAGCAACTTAATTTCTATAGAAAAATGGGAAAATCACTATAAAAATTTACTCCAAGAGTCCAGATTGGAATATATGGGAGAAGAATACAGTATGGAGAGACAAACAAATAGTAACATTAATACTACCAGCAACGAGGTCCGTACTGCGCTAATTAAAATGAAAAACGGGCGATCTTCAGGACCTGGCAATATAGCTGTAGAGCTACTGAACTCTTTACCTTTAAAACGCATCTTGATTTTTGTCAATAGGTGGCTTAAATCAAAAGATATCGAATTTTTACCGTCGAGCTAATAAAAATTTTATCGAACATTTATTTCGCGCGCGTAACTGACATGCAAAATCGACGGTCGCTTCAAGTGTTGTTTCTAAGAACGGTTCATTCTACACAAAAAATTCTTATAAACATCTTTGTTTAACATTACCTCAGCTACATTTTTTAGTTAAAACATTTTTTTCTACGGTGTACAGATTCTTGGTAAATCAATTTTTTTTGCGTTTTTACCCCCCTGAGAGGGGGGTTTTCCCTAGGGGAAAGCCCGGGGCTAAAAGTGGTTAACTTTTTTCATCATTTTTTGGGATTCGAAAACTGGCGGTTACAGTAACTACTTATAAAGACAACACAAAATAAAGCAAATAAAAATCATCCATCTTAGTTACTTACCTTTAACAAGTTTTACAGAAAATTCATAAAGAGTATTAGGTCTAAGCTCGTCAACCATTACATTTAAATCCGTGACATTAATAAATCTAGGTTTTTTCGCAGTTTTGTCGTCGATTTTAACTATGTAATACCTGTTGTCTCCAACGTACTGAAAAAAATTAGAGGCAACCGTTTGTAAGTTTAAATTACTAAATTATTTTATTTTTAATGGCAAACTATTTTAGTTAAATTATGTATCTTACTTGACTCTGCTTCAAAGTGGGATCCGTCCAATATAAAACCACTGAACTAGTACTCAAAACTTGCGCTTTCAATCCCATAGGTGGGTATAGGGTAACAGCAGGCTCTGGAGGTGGCTCATCTTGAGTTCTCACTTGAACATAAATGGGGGCACCCGCACCAACTTGGTTGCTAGCTCTCAAGCTGAGTACATACTCAGAGTTGGGCTCTAAAAATATTTTAATTGAATATTATTAAATCGGGTATTTTCATTGTGTGCTTCTAGAACTATTTTCAATAGATATATTTTTAAACAGTATCACAAGAAAATATTAAAAAGAAGTATACTACGTACCCAATCGGTCTATTACGTACGTCCTATTTCTTTCATCTAATTCCTGGGAGTACATATCTGGTACTCCTTTACCCCAACCAAGCAAATAATGACGTACCCTGGTCTTTTGATTGAGTGGAGGATACCACATTACATACAATTTATCAAACGTTGGACGCACTAAAACAATTAATCATTAATAAATGTTAAAGAGATATTTAAACAATACAATTTACACAAACTAAAATACAATCTAAGTTGATTATAAAATCTTACCTTTAATTTTTTCAGGTTTATCGGGAACATTATTCTCGTCGAATTCATTTTCAAAAGTTTCAACTTCGACCCATTCGGACCCAGGACCACTTCCATTGACGTTCATCGCCCATAATCGAATTTGATATGGTTCGCCTTTCTCCAAATCGTTAATAACGTAATGCCGTTCGCTTGGTTGTGTGGTATGAGTCAGAGCCTTTCCCCTACCAACTCGTCTCCATTTTATCTTATATCCTAAAATGACACCGTTTTGGTTTTCTGGCGGAGGGGGTTCCCATCGTACTGTAATACTCTGTTAGAAAAAGAAAAATTCATTAGATATTGGCATTAGATACTTAGGTCTTTTTCAATGAAACACTAACAATATTTTTACTTTGATATCCAGTAAAGTTACTTTGTCCTAGAAATTTTATAACCTTACAAAGTACTCTCCCTATTATCAAAAACTAGTATTTGCTTACCATACTGGAAGGTTCGGTAGTAATATTAATCGGTGCTTCGGATGGTGGCGCGCTGAAAGTCCTGACCATTTTTTCTTCAGTCGCTCCTCCAGCTCCGTTTTCGTTTTGGGCAACTACCCAAACAGTGTATTCTGTGAATGGTGCCAACCCATTTAGGTCATAATTTAAGTCATTTAGGTCCGTCACGTCGACGTTGTGTTCTATTGAAGAACTTGTCTGCAAAATCAAGTTTGTTTTAATAACTGACTAGAAATCACGTAATGAAAATAAATAAATAAATACAATGTATGCTGCTTTCAGTCACAAACAAAACAAGTTAGTGACAAAATCGGACGAATCCTAACTGGCAATATTTAAACGGAGAACCTAATGTGGTAAATCTGGTTAAGCTTGAAAGACTTAGTTGGATGGGTCATAAGGAGCGTATGGAACCCCCTGAACCAGCAAAAATCATAACCCAACAACACATGTTGAAAAATCCATAAAAGGGATGGCCAAAAATACGATAAATAATCCAAGTACAGGCGGATTCAAGAGAACTACAAACTAGAAACTGGAGAACGAAAGCTAGAAATAGGAATGAGTGAAGAGGATTAATTGAACAGGTCAAGGCACAACTGAATTGAATTCAGCACAAGGCGAAAATGATCTCATTTGACTCCCAGTGAAAGAATAACTCTTTTTTGTTTCTAGACATATAAGCCCCTTAAAGAAAAAGTGGTGTAACTCACTTTAACCTTGTATTGAGTTATGCAATGTTTTACTGGAATTCTTATAAAAAAAAAGCAATATAATATTGTAAGTTTTTTTTTTCGAAAATGTATTAACAAAGGTTTGTTTTAGTTATTATTAATAAAAATATAACCATTTTATTTAACATAAGTAGGTACATTTAATATTGTTTAAAAAAATTCAGCCATATGTTTAATTTTTTTTTTCTAAATCTTGTTAGGAAAGGTTTGCCAAAAATGTAACCATTTGATTTAAAATTCATTTAATATTGTAGTTAACAACGCTTTATCTTCAATATTGAAATCTAACTGTAGTGGCCCTATGTCTTGAGTATCTTCTGAAGTAAACAGAATTTCAAAATAGGGATGCTGGATGGGTGGAATAAAAGGGAAAAGTCTTTCATGTCATTTTTTTCTCGTTTGTCACAGGTTGAGGTCTACTGTATAGTTTTGGATGATCTATATTAGCTAAAGATACTGGTTGTCTTTTTTAGATCTCGGCTTTAGGTCTAGCTAAAGAATGGCATTTCATACGAAAGAGTCTCCCCAAAGAGTATTGTGAATGGAATTATCTATCGAATCATCATCATCATCCAGCCGAATTTTCACATCCATTGTTGGATATAGGCCTCCTCCAAACGTCTCCAGTTCTCTCTATCTCTAGCTGCTGCAATCCAGTTTGTTTCTATCCTCCTTAGGTCGTCGGTCCATCGGGTGGGTGGTCTGCCTCGACTTTGCTTGTCGGCTCTTGGTCTCCACTCCAATAATCTCTTCGTCCATCTTCCGTCTTCCATTCTAGCAACATGTCCAGCCCACCTCCACTTTTGTTTATTGATTCTCAGTATAATATCGTCTACGCCAGTTCGTCGGCTTATCTCCTCATTTCTTACGCGATCTTTCAAGGTCAGGCCCAGCATTGATCTCTCCATTCGCCTTTGTGTTACCCTCAGTTTTTCGGCAGTAGCTTTCGTTAAAGTTAAGGTCTCTGCTCCGTAGGTCAAGACTGGTAAGATGCATTGGTTAAATGCCTTCCTTTTCAGGTGAATTGGGATATTTGTTTTAAAAATGTCTCTCATCCGTCCATATGCCGCCCATCCCAACATGATTCGTCTATTTAGCTCGCAGGTTTGGTTGTCTTATCTATCGAATCCACTGCATTTATCCATCCATGAGACTGCGTGACTAAACAAGTGCCAGTTTCTTGCGCATCTCTAGATGAAGTCACTTCATCCTAACAATACATGAATCCCTTTTTTATGGAAAACTTATGGAAACCTAAATTGTAGACCTGGCTTGGCTCTCAGAGATCTTCATTAAAAAAACTAATTCTCAACTACACTAAAGACAATTAAATATGCAAATGAAACTTAATGTATCAAAAACTAACATCCACAGACACGTGTAAAAACAAAAACAGTTGCAGGAACAGTGGTATATCCATTGTACTTCACTTTGGCTGTCAACAGATAGGTGACTCCACTGACAACACAAAATGTGTTACCTATCTGCATGTTTACTATATGACTTATATATAACTACACCATATAACTTACACCATTTGTGCTAATATAAAATACTTAATGCGGGCCATGATTTAGACCTTAACTAAAATTAATGGAAAATAGAGTTACAGCACTTGTGCTTTAAGGGGCTCATATACTACTTGAACAAAACAACTTTCAATTGATTAAAGACAAAATCATCTTTTTTAACAAAAAAAAAGCTGCAACTGTAGTTTGGAATTCTCAAGCAATTAATTATCTTTGTCAACTACTTAAACAATAGGAAAAGCGGTAAGTCAAAAAGAAGCAGGATTATTTAGTAAGAAAAATTGTTTCTATTACGATAACGCAAAATAAACTTACCTCCATATAATATATAGTATACTTGGAAATGTGTCCGTTTGCAGTCTCAGGCGGTTGCCAACTGATGTGAATATTTCTGGGGCTCGTAGCGTATACGTTGAAGTTTAGAGGAGAGCTAGGGACATGTTCTTCGGATTGAAGGGTAACCGTTAAAGTTTCTGACGATTCTCCTGGTCCTAACGCATTATTCGGAACAATTCTAAAATGATATACTCCTCCTGGTTGAAGACCACCAATGCGGTCTTCCAATTTTGACCTATTTGTATTTTGGTGTCGTTCCCTAATAAATAAATTTGTAAATAAATACCTTTAATATATTTGTTCATCTATTAAGTATTTCCTTTCAGTAAATGTAAATGATAGAAATATTCACTATAATAAAATAAATTGTATCTTCAGAGATACGGGAACGATGTAGGCTCACAATGTTTTAATAAAAACTAGAACAATAGAAATAGAATATTCGGTGTTATTAAAATAACTAGTTACTACAACATATTCAGTGCAAACAATCAATAGATTGTCTGAAATTTAGTTAAGCAAAACAATTATTAAAAGCATTATTATGTTTGGGTTTTCCGGTTAGGAACACCAATCTTCTCGGCGTCTTTCATCCTTCCGTTAACCACCGGAGCTCATTCGATGTGAGTAGTTTACTGGGTTCATGGTTCAAACCACGCGCTGGCCATAAAAACAAAAAAAAAAATAAAACGTTGTAGTTTAAAATCTAAAATGTATCTGCAACTTTTAATTTCGTATTTCAATTGGACGTGTCTGTCGATAGATGAGTAGTACGATAAGAGGTGAGAACTTCCATCTCGGTGTAGCTCATTCATTGATCCTTACCGGAATATTATTGAGAGCGGTATATAAATACATATCTTTCTTTCAGCTATCGATCCCTTGTGGAACTCGGTGGTTGAGTGTGCTGATTTACTTATTTCAAAATGATTGGTTTACGAAATTCGTGGTTAGAGTTACATGCCAGCAAGAAAATGTTTTTAACAAGCAGAACTGTGAAATCCACAATGGATCTTTTGGTTTGAATTGTCTCATAACCAGAAACCCAGAATATATCTACATCTTTCTTTTAAAGACGATGAAGAGGACACATCGAATTTGGTTAGGGCTCCTTCCTATGTTCCACATGTGAGAACTGGCATATTAGTAACTTATAATATCTTAATAATGTTCGTGATATAAACGTTTGTTAGCTAAATATTTTTATTTGCGATTATGAACCGTTGTGATTTATTTCTTCCACTATGTGTGTGGGTATTAGTAAAACTAGTTTTACTTTGGTTTGCTTATGGTCCCATTTTTTTGTAATGCGGTTGTTAGGTCTGCTGATATTTCTGGGATTCTTACTTTGGTGTTGTTATAATGTCCACATTGCCAGCGTATACATTGTCTGGACTGATGTGTAAATAAAGTTTCATTACTATGTATCTAAATTGACAAATGAACTTTACGAACAATATGTTGAGTCTTGTCTTTATCTCCTGATAGTCTGTACAGTGCTGTAGAGGTTTGATGTCAGAATACTATCATATGCTGCTTTAAAAGGCTACCAAGAGGTAGTATAAATCAATGTTGAACTCTTGCGCTCTTTCAAAAATTGGGTGTAAAGATCTGATTAATTTTCGAATGGCCAGGACTGAAAAATGCACTTTCTTAGACAGTATTCAGTGTAGATATTCAATTACAAATGACAACTTTCGATTATACAGAAAGCACATGATAAAAATGACGGGACGTAATTAATAATTCCGTGAATTCATCATCGGAGTTTCCGGGGACGGGTACTAACCCGTCAATGATAAAAACATCCTCAATAAAAGACACCATTTTTAAGAAATATAAATAGGATAAAAATTCCTTAATGCTAGCAGATTTATAAAATTAATATCCCAAAGTTTTAAGATCTGGTTCTAACATTCAGTTCGATTTTAAACTTTTGTGTTAACTAGTATTGTCTAATGCTTATATTTTTTTCTGCTTGGAGCGTAATGGTTGACAGTTTTTTTTACTCTGGTACATGTGTTGTTTTGGAACTAACGAGTATGGCAGGAAAAAGGAAACGCCTCTCTATCAAATAAAAAATGGATATAATTAGCGAAAGTGAAAAAAGTGTACCAGGAAGTTGGCCGAAAAATTTAAAGTACGTAAGCGCCGAGTGACCGTGTGAGTGTGATATTGCTACAAAATAAAGAAGAGGTTAGAAATTTGTTTGAAGAAGGTCATAAAGTTGACAAAAAAAATTACTAAAACCAAGGGACTAGCTGTGGATCAAGCTGTGTTCAAATGGTTTTGTAAGGCTCCAAACATGAACTTGCCAATATCTGGACCTATAATTCAAGTCAAAACCCACGAAGTTGCGCAATTCCTAGGACTATGTGAGTTTAAGGCATCAAATAATTGGTCGACAAGATAATACTTTGAAGACAATATGTTGCGATTCTGCTGATGTTAACGTCGAAAACGTAAAATCTTAAAAAGAAAAGCTGTTTGCTATTTTAAAGGATTATGTCTCTTTATAAAGATGTGTTTAATGCAGCCGAGACGGGTTTCTAATATTGTGAAAAAATAAGAATATAAGCATTAGAAGTGATAAGTTGCTGGAAGAAAAACTGTAAAACAACGAATTACAATTTTGTTCTGTGCAACTAAGAAAGGTGAAAAGGAGGAACAACTTCTCATACTCAAAAGCAACAATATTCGATGTTTTAAGGGGACACACATCGATAAATGGAGAATCATCAAGAACTGGGTAAGAAATAGAAGAGTAAAATGGAACGATCATATAGGACGAATGACAATAAATAGAGTAGTAAAAACCACAAGACACGGTTCCCCAATAGGAAGACGATTAGTACTAAGAGCACGAAAACGATGGAACGACAACTTAATGGAGGCACATTGATAAAGTTGTTTTTTGAATGAACAACAAAAATTCATGGAAAGCAGATATGACGACATCGCTCCACAAATTTGACACGAAGATGAAAAAGCAGAATAAAAAAGTGGACTGTTTCTGGATAATGCTACATCTTACTCCAAGATTGCACTGGATAATGTTAAACTTATTTTTCTTTCACCGAATATTACCCTAGACCAAGACATTATCCATACAACCTACTTTATTAAACGGCTTTTAACTCGTATAGACAGTGGTTGTCCTCTTCAAGAAATAGAGAAAAACATTACCATAACCAATGCCTTGATAAGGGTTACAGTGGCTTGGCGTACTTTGTCGTCGATGTCAATAAAAAAATTCGTTGCTAATTCCAGATTTATGTGAAATGTAGATGCGAATGGTTTTGAAGAGATTGATAATATTTCACTGCATAACTACTTCCCACCACAGACACATTAGTGGATTTATAAAAATTTGCCTTGATTGGTTGCACCGCTAAACGTGCCAACAGAAATTGGAGAATTGACCAACAATGACTGTATTGAAGAAATACTAGAAATAAATAAAACTAATCCCTAAGTTGTAACATTTGTAAATTCCTTGGTATATATTGAAATCACCTCGTATATGTATTAAATTGAAATCCCCTTATATATGTATTAAAATAACAAATAATGTTTTCCATGTTTCTCTGTTCCTATCGTACGAGTTAAACCCAAATAGTATGTCATTCTTTTTACGTCGCCGAAGTTGATATAAACACATTTTACAGTTTGTTTATATTTCACAGATTCGTATTTTGGTGGTATTCTATGATCAAAGCCTCTTTTAGGATATTTTTCGTTTCCGTTCCCGTTGTGTTTTGTTTATACCAAGTTATGCGAATGATTTTTAATAATTAGCTCACTCTCGCTGAGGCGTTGTCAGCGTTGACATCTGCTTCTAGCGTTTGTCTAAATTTTTCGTCGAATTTGTACTGCTTCCTCGTCCTTCGTCCTTTTTTATGGGAAAAGGTGTAGAAGTGTAAAGAATCGTAGCTGTTCAAATAATAACTACAGTTAGAGTAAAATTTTGAAGATAACCAAATGTTGCCACTGTATTCAGTTGTACCTGTTCCAGTCTTTTAAGGAGACGAGTTTTCCAAGGTTTGTGTTCCAGTGCTAGCTTCCACCCTCATTTTCTTATCTGTGGTCGTTGTCCCAGTCTACAGTTTTTTGCATGGCAGTGAAGGTCCAGTTTCCAATCTCAGATAATATGTTGAGTAAAGTTTAGTGAAATGAAGGTAACTTTTTTTGTGCTTAAATTTCAAAGTAAAAATAGAAGTTTTTTAATATTAATAATTGCTTTCAATAAAATTTAAGAATTATAATTAAAACATATAGGTATGTATTAGGGCGTGGCCATAGATGTCATTTTAATTGATCTGTTTTAAATTTAATGTTGACATATGAAAGCTCGTTTAATTATTTTTGACATATGATAAATACCTAATCATATTTGAGATTTTTTGTTTTGTTATTTTTTAAGAAGGTAAATCTCCATGCAGTAACATTTGTAATTTTTTGTGGTATCTCCAACTCCTAGAATTTGTAATTTTTTGTGGTATCTCCAACTTCTAGAATTTGTAAACGGCTAGGACATATGTAAGTTTTTCTTTTTTTATTATTTTGGTATAAATCTCTGTAACTATTAATATAGTTTTTTTTTTGTGCAATCTACATTTTGTAACTGCGTGTGGTGGGATACAATAAATGTTAAATTTTTTTTAAACCATTTTGTTTACTTTCTTAACTTACTTTCTAACCTTTTTTTGAGTTTCATTAAAAAAGATATATTTTTCATTGCTAATAATTATTTCAATAGTAACTAGTTGTTGTAATCGTTATAATTTGCCACCTCGAAGGAGATTCATGTAAGTAACCCCTTTGGTTCATTTTTTTGTAGTTGCTCCAATCCAACCCCTTGCCATTCACTTATCCACGATCCAGCCTCTCCAAATAAACCCTGAGTGCCGTTCGCATAAGTTTCGTTTATTTTGCTTGCCCTATCTCCACCCCCAGTAACTTCTGTCCCCAATTTTCAACCCCTATAGTAATACCCTATTTGGTGGGCAAAATATTTCGTTACAAAGTATGCAACCTATTCTTAAATTGATGTCGTTGTTTCTGATAAATTAAAATTATAATTAATTAAAATCATATAAATAAACAACATAAACTGCACATCAGTTGCTTTTATTTTTCTCTGTTCTCTCGTAAACGAAAACTCCCCTTTAGCGATGTTTTTAATCCCCCGAGGGTGGTGGCTATTGAAAGGTTTCTCTGTACCACAATAAATGCCGAATGGAATGAAAAACTTTACAAAAAATATCAACCTTTAATTTGCACGTCTCTAAATTATTATTAGTTACTTAAAGAATACTGAACATACCTGGCGCTGCCGTCATGTCGATAATAGATGGAATAAGATAGGATGTTTTCTCCATTTTCCAACGGGGGTTTCCAGCTCAAAATGACGAACCTGGCCTTTACCATTGGCGCCTTCAAATCCCGAGGTGGTCCCGGCAATCCGTCTTCCAGTTTTTTTTCCGAATTGGCAGCTACGATGGGTTTTTGGGGGGAAGGAGTAAAAGCATATTGAATATCTCCTAGGTTGATATTAGTATCGTTCGACTCACTACTTTTGAGGGAATTAAAAGCGGTATGTGGATCGAACTTATGAGTGTCTGGGTTTTTCGGAGATAAGTGCGTGAAGTCAATATCACTGAGCGAAGCGCCAGAGTCTGACTTCAAAGAGGAAAAGAGGGATATGGATTGTTGCGAGGGAACTTTCTTCGGATGTGGATTCTTGGGTTTCCTTCTCTCTATGTATTGATACATGCCACATGCAAAACGTGCAGGTTAATAGTTTTCAGGTGGGAACGAACGGAGGGTAAACAAAAAAAAATAAAATTAAAATAAATACTCACAATGCATAAATAAAAAAATATATCAAAACATTAAAAAAAACTTTTAGAAAATATGTGTTGCTTTAGATTATTATTTTTGTTTAACTAAAAGACGTATCTAAAAGCTTATTTTAAATTTATTAAATAATATAGATAGATCATTCAAATTTTATAGTTTTATTTAAGAAAATATTAAAAATAGCCATATATTGAAACTTAATGCAAAAATCTTATTTATTCCGCTCCATAGGAAAACTCGAACCAGATAGATATGCGTCACATACTTGCACATTAAGTGTGGTTATATTTTAATTAATTTTAAATTGCCATATTTAAAATTAACCTTATTTTACAAAACTTCATTCACCAGGACTGCTAAAAGTTGTATATTAAATATAATATATGTATATATATATATATATATATATATATATATATATATATATATATATATATATATATATATATATATATATATATATATATATATATATCATCATTAGCCATTTTGCGTCCACTGCTGAACATAGGCCTCCCGTAAATAATTCCATTGCATCCGATCTTGAGCAACTTGAATCCAGTTAGACTGGATGCGCTTTAAATCGTCCGACCACCTTGTTGGAGGACGTCCTCGACTACGATAAGCATCGTGTCTAGGCCTCCACTCTAAAATTTTCTTTGTCCATCTTCCATCTCTGACCCTAGCAACATGTCCTGCCCAGTTCCATTTCAGGGTTGTAATTCTTTCAACTGCGTCCGTCACACCAGTTTTTCTCCTTACTATCTGACTCGAAACTCTGTCCCTGAGTGATACGCCCAACATTGACCTCTCCATCGCTCTCTGTGCCACTTGTATCTTATTAATTACTTTTCTGGTAAGTGTCAATGTTTCTGCTCCATATGTCAGAACTGGAAGTACACACTGATCAAGAACTTTTCTCTTCAAGCACATGGGAATAGCTGATTTAAAGACTTCCCTCAGTTTTCCGTAAGCTGCCCATGCCAGTCCTATTCTCCTTTTTAACTCTGTTGTTTGATTGTCTCTTCCCAATTTAATCTCGTGGCCCAGATACTTATAGGAATAAACTTGTTCAATTTGCGTGCCATTAGTGGAAATGTTTTTTGCCAGTACCAGGTTGGTCATGTATTGTGTTTTGGAAAAATTAATTTTAAGGCCAACTCGTGCACAAGAGCTCTCTCTGAAGGTCTTGAAGAAGTTGGCATGCATGATCTACCTGATCTGCAATAAGGACTATGTCGTCTGCAAACCTCAAGTTGTTCAAAAATTCCCCATTTATATTTAATCCAATATTTTCCCAATTATTTTTTCTCATAGCACTCTGTAATAGGGCGGTGAATAGTTTAGGAGAGATAGTGTCTCCTTGCCTAATACCTTTCTCCAAGGGAAATGTGTCTGTGTCACCATAGTACATTATTACAGCAGCTGTTGCGCTATCATATATATTTCGAAGAAGAGTTGTGTACCTATGGTCAATACTGCACTCTGTAAGAGCTCTTAACATGGAGCTATGCTGGACTGAGTCAAATGCTTTCTCAAAGTCTACAAATATTAATATCAATGGCTTGTTGTATTCTATAACTTTCTCTATCAAGGATTTTATTACTTGTAGGTGGTCATTTGTTCCAAAGCCACTCCTAAATCCGGCCTGCTCTAGAGGTTGATGAAAATCTAGCTTAGGTCCCAGTCTGTTAGTAATTATTCTCATAAAGAGTTTATATAAATGAGATAATAAGTTGATAGGTCTGTAGTTGCCAATTTCTGTTACATCTCCTTTTTTATGCAATATTATCATAATGGCATTATTCCATTTTTCTGGCGTATTTCCTTCAAAGAGGCAGGCATTATAAAGGGTTTTTAAAGCCTTTATGACGCATTCGCCTCCTAGTTTTATCATTTCACTTACAATGCCATCTTCTCCAGGTGTTTTGTTGTTCTTCATACCTTTTAATGCTGACTTAATTTCCTCTTCGGTTATATCTGGAAGTTCCTCTGACCCTTGATTTAGTATTGCTGGAATTTCTACTTCAGGAATGTGATCATCTCGACTATATAATGTTCTATAGTACTCTTCGATGATTTTTAGTATCTCTTGTATATATATATATATATATATATATATATATATATATATATATATATAACGAATTATTAATACAATTATTAAAATCCCCTAACCTGCAATTACCCAGTGTAAATTTCAATATAACGTCGCGATGTCTTATAATTAATTCATTTGTTCGACTGGATTGCTACTCCTTTACGATTTACGTCGACACTGTTGTCTATCGTCCACTGATTTTCTGTGTTTTTGTGCAGATAATAACAATGTTTTATTAATAACAATTTTTTTGTGTTCATTAGATATTATTTGAATTGGTTAGTGTATAGTTTAATATATTTATTATTCCAAATATTGTTGATAATTTAAAATTTAAAAGGATGTATATGATACATCAAAATCTACAGATTTTTGAAGAAGGTATCTATCGATTTTTCAACAGTCGAAATAAAAGTAGTGTTTCTAACCATAAACCATGTATACAAACAAAGAAAAAGTACAAATTTTAAAATGGTATTATGGGGGCAACTCGTACCGTGATATTATAAATTTATTTACTTGTGCGTATGAAGATAGGCCAATACCGACACAATCAACTATTAGTCGTTTAGATTAATGATCGTTTTCATTAGATACCAAACACAAACGATCATTAGATGATCGTTTGTGTTTGGTAAGGTGCGCACGTGCGCAGCAGTCGAAAAATATCGACTGGAGAAGGAGTCCATTCGAACAAATGAATTAATTATAAGACATCGCGACGTTATATTGAAATTTACACTGGGTAATTGCAGGTCAGGGGATCTTAATAATTGTATTAATAATTCGTATGTTCCGTTTTGAATCTTCCAATACTGTATATATATTAGTATTTTCCTAGTAAATCTGTTGCATGTCATCTATAGCATTTTTAATATAAAAAAGCTTGCACGTCATTCAAGATTAACGTCGTCAGAACCCCACAGCTTTGTCAAAACATCAGATTAGTTAGTAAGTGAGGAATTTTAAAAAAATCAACTATTTGTCAAACTATTATATTAACAGTAAATACACTTAGTTTTTGGGCTACTGCAACACAATAAAATACATAAGAAAACATTTTTATACAAAATTATATATTCTAAATTTTAAACTTACCTCTTTTAAGGCTTTACTAGTAAAAACGTCCCGCCATTATTTCTTGTTCAAAATAATCTATCTTATATGAAAACTTATCAGCTTTCTACAGACTATTTATTTGTTTTTTGGCATATCACAATCACAATACATAACAATAATTAGTTTTTAAAGCAAAATTCCTACTTTAAAAAAGCGGCAACACTGTATACACTTTTACCACACGCTCAACTGTCAATAAAATTTGAAGTAGTTCCGTATCAGTTGCGTACAATTGTCTAATATATTTAATTAAAATTATTATTTTGTGGAATATTAGACTTAAAGAGTTATTTAATAAAATTTATATTATTAATAATAACAAATGTTTCTGGTTATTTAATCAATATAATTCTAAAATTTCCAATATAATGATGATTACATTTTTCTGATTATTACACAACAATCATAAGGATAAGAAAAAATATTTAATATTTATAAAGCTGTTGGTAAATCTTTTCTTACTGTATAACCAACTCGATGTGCTAATATTTCAGATTAATCTTTTTAACTGGCCGATCAAGTAACTTAAGGTATTCATTTACATTGGGAGAAGATGAGAAAGGTGCGTCGGAAAAGATAGATTAATGCATTAAATTTATAAATAACATTAACATTAGAATAACTAAACATATACATACCTGAAGCAGATGTAACTTTCAAACTAGCAACAGCCTGAATATTCCCTGCTTGATTTGTTGCAAAACATTGAAAAAGGCCAGAGTCTAAAGGGATCAGTCCCATAATTTTTAAATTGTAGCTTAAAAAAAATTATAATTTTTAATATATTTAAACATTTTAAAGATAATCATCGAGATATTACACACTATTTGACATAGGTGTACATTATAAAACAAAATTTCAAAACTTGTATTGTATTATTCATAATAGACCCTACATAAAATAATTTGTTAAGATCACGTTGTTAAGGAGATTTAAAAAATATGCAATATGTTCCATTAAAAGCAAAAATAATGGACTATGCTAGACTTGCGTGTATCACCCTGTATTTTATTTAATAAAATTTTAATTTTAATTTATATTTAAAAGCGCACATTTTAACTTAAAAGTTAAGGTGCCAGAGTTTTTATAATTTTTTAAAATAAGGACACAAACCATTTTACTCCATAAGTGGTTTCCACACTGTATAATTTTAAAATTTCACCGTCTAATATTCATAATAGACCCTACATGATGTTCGTATAGAATTCGCTTTTAAAAATATAAAAATAGACAGGACATTCCATTAAAAACAAAGCTTTTGGACTATGCTAGGCTTGCGCGACTCACCCTGTACATTTAAATTTATGTTTAAAAATCGGACATTTATACAGTACGTAAATCGTTCAACTGGACGTAGGTAATATTTACGTACGTTCAGCTGAAGGGTCCACAATACATTGAGGTAAGTATAGCAACGGCGCTTTCTCGAACAATTTCAACAATGCAGTTAAAAACTTTTAAAAAATTATATTGTGGGCTATGCCCACCAAAGAACGAAAAAATATTCTAAAAGTAGTTAAACACAAATAAATAATGTATTTAAAGAATTTTAAAAACAAACAATACGTTCTACCAAACAAAATAACAAGTAAACACCTTATTTTGCAAGACAATAACCTAGTCTATCATAAAATGTTTCTCTTACGTTTGCAAGCTGTTGCGGCGTAATAGTAGCACAAGCATTTTTTTTTTATTTTCTAAATTAACCCTAGCCTTCACGAGGTCGACGCCATAAACTGTGGATTTAATATGTCCCCAGAAAAAGAAATCCATGGGAGCTAAATCGTGAGATCTCGTAGGCCATTTAATTTGGTTTGTTCCGCTTATAATACAATCCTGAAATGTGTTTAACTAAGTTCTCACGATATGCGTATTACAAACAGAACAGCCATCCTGTTGGTACCGGACATCTTCTAAACGTACATCTGAGAAATTTTGAACATCTGAAATATTATCTTATAAAAGAGCAAGATATTTAACCGAGTTCAGAACTCCCTCAAGAAAAAATGGACCAATTACATTGTCACCTAAAATGCTCGTCCACGTATTAAGTTTTAAGGGCATTGGGACCTATGTACAATACTTCAATGTTGATTTTCCAAGACCAATACGGCGTTTTGGAAAGATTATGATGACCCCGTACTGAAAATGACGATTCATCGGTGAAAAGGATATTTTTTATAAAATTATCATTTTCGTGGAATGCATTCATTGCGCCTCAGAAAACTACATTCTACGAAATGGATCTCCGGTAATTAACTCCTGAGTTTTCGAATATTGAAACTCTTAAAGCCATATTTCTTTAAAACATTATTAACTGTGGTATGCGAGACGTATAATTAACTCTTCGGCGATATTTCTAGTGGTTAATTTTATTACACAGTATAACATCAGCCTACTGGTGCATGTACCCAACTATATATAGACCAAGTAACTGGATAATCACCAAGTGTCTAATTTGCACCTATATGAAATCCATCTACATCTGATAGTGTTGACGAGTTCACACCTAAATTATTGTTTTCAAAAATCCGATTCAATTAGTTAGATTAGATTCTATACGATAAAAACCTTAATGGGGGCATAACAATACATCGAAAAGCTGTGTCAAATAGTGGATATGTGACCAAATAATAATGATCCACATTTTTTTACTTACCCATTGACTAATTTATAGTAATTGGAATATTTCACCAATTCCCCATTTTTGAACCATTGTACTTCTGGCTCTGGTACACCATACACGGCACATTCCAATTCAACATCATTATTATGATGTTCAATTTTATCTTGCGGTTTCTTTAAAAATTTGGGAGGCACCTGGGAAGATAAAATATTCATGTATTAAATATATAAAATAAATATAATAAATAAAATAAAAATATATAAAATCTGTTCAAACTTACTTGAATATGAATTAAAGCAGACGCATCCAAACTGTCTTCATGGTTTTCAGCTCGACACTGGTATGTACCACCATCCCCCTCCTGGATTTTTGTTATTCTTAAAGAGTTCGTCGTGCCAACCAGTTTAAACCGGCTATCCAAGTCGCTAAAATTTGAACGGTATATTAAACTAAATAAGATAAATATAGAAGTTAAATATATTAAGTAATAAGTGAAAGAATAAATTTAAACATAAATGAATAAAAACATGTATTCAAAATATTTGATAAAATGGTATAAATAATAAAAAAAAAGTAATGAGAGAAATACATGAAATTTTAACATTTTTTCCCATCCTGTATAAGGTTTTAATTCGCTTCTTCCAAATATTCGAAACAGAAACACTTAAAATCTTACAATTGTTTTGTCTATACATCTCACCCCATTTAGCACTTTTAAAATTGCGTCTCAAAAATAAACATACTCCAATTGTTTGATTGTACAGCCGTATGCATCTAAGTAAAGCGGACTAGAAGAATTTCACTGGGGAAAACATCAATACGTAAAAATAAGAAATTCAGTCGTGACCTGGTACCGGGAATTTGTCCGAAAATACGAAAGTACTAACGATTCCGCTGCTATGGTTGGATGCACTTTGCCTGATATGGTTGTATAAAATAGCGAAAGAGTCCCATTTACATTGTCTGAAAATCAAGCGGAAATTTAAGTTTTTGTTCACTTGCCAGATATAGGAGTGGAATTAGAAGTTTTTGTGATTTCATTTTTAAAAAAATCTAGTATGGTTTCCTTAACTTTCGATTTATGTCTTGGTCACAAGAGATAAAACATGCCTAGCTGCCTGCTTATGGAAGTGGAGATGAAGTAGTGTCCGCAATCCATTAACTTATTCGCTGGAAGCCGTTCCTCCAGTCATCCTTTAGTAAGAGAACCCGCAAAGTCTGCAGTCAAAGTATAGTGAAACAAAAAAATTGACTGTAATGTTGTATCCTTCGTTTTTAAACACCCTGCTACAGTAAATCCAATAACAAAATTGAAATTTTTTTTTAACTTTAATATGTGCAGTGGTTAGTGAAGTGTTTTAAGGACTTTTAAGGATGTATAATGAGGAAGACGAGAATGGAGTCAGCATGTTACACGAATGAATAGTGAAGGACTAGCCTGAAGGAATAGGAATGCCGCAAGGCATTGAACATCAACGTCACAAATATTAGTACAGCCTTAAGATCAGAAAATAACAGGCCAAGTCCTAATATATTAAGAATAAGACATTCGCAGATACCAGCCTGTAAATTTAAATCTTTATATTGTTCTAAAGCTATTTTCTTGTGGCATTTTATAAGTATTACTATTTTAATGGGAATAAGCCACAGTTGAAACTTAAAGTAAGTTTATTGACGTTTCAACTTCCACTTAGGAAATTGTTCTCAAAATACAAACATTAGTGTTAATGTTTGTATTCCCATTAAAATAGTAAACCTTTATTTAATGGATGCTCTCTATAACGGAAATAGAATTTTTTCCCTTAGTTTTGGCTTAACCAATTACAAGATTTGGCTGAACCAATACAAAACAAATAAATAATTTGATTTCAGTCCGGACGCGTTAATCCGAACAGAATTACCTATGACTTTTTTATTGGGTAAAGAAAAAATGCAAAACTACAATGAAAATCACTGTAAATGCTTTATGTATATTAATAAAATATTATATTATATAACATAACATAACATAACAATATCTTTATTTTTAGAAAATAATATACATTCCGTGAACATAAAATTATTAAAAAAAAAAACAGGGTCACAAACGAAAATATTATTTACTTATTCCTAACCGTTACATATACAAATAGTCCTCCACAGAATATGGCTCAAGAGCTACCAGTAATTTAAATATTTGATGTTTATACAAACTTAATCTTTCCTCCCTTTTAATAGGTTCAGGTTCAGGCAGTTTATTAAACAATTTGATGCAGCAATAAAGAGCGTTCTTTTCTGTTATACTTAACCTGTGTATTGGAATTTTATAATTATATAACCTGGTATTTACTATACTATTGGGCTCAAAGTTCCTAAAGAGTATTTTATTTTTATATAGAAACAGTAAGCATTCTTGAATAAATACAGCGTAAACTGTTAAAATATTATTACTCCTAAAATGCCCTCTACATGATTCCCTACTTTTTAAGTCAAACATAACTCAAACATTATTTTTTTCTGAACCAGAAATACATTATTTATGTCCCTACTGTGGCCAAAATTTATTAGACCATATCTAAATTTTGCTTCAAAATTAGCATGATACACTGTTTTTAATGAGTTACTATTCATGTATTTTTTTAGAACTCTAAAGCTGTAAATCACTTTACTCAAAGACATACATAACTGGTCAACAGGTTTATCCCAACATAAAAAACTGTCAATATATAATCCTAAAAAATTTGGTCCTGCTGATAATATTTAAAGTGTCATTATTTACAATAATACTGTTTAACATATTTGAATGTGCATAATTTGTCTTAAACAAAAGATCTGTTTTATTTTGATTTAAAACCAACCTATTCATAGAAAACCAGTCTTTAGCTTTCTGGAACTCTAAACTAGCATTAACGCTTAGAACAGACATGTCTTTACCACTGACTAAAATGTTTGTATCATCTGCATAATTTGTTATGCTGGAAGTAGTATTAGCCACTAGACCATGAAGATCATTGATATAGATCACAAACAATAAAGGACCAATCACACTTCCTTGTGGTACTCCAATATTGATAGTGCTTTCAGATGAGATGCCTATTTCAGTGTTTTTATCTATTTTTACTAAATGTCTCCTATTTGCTAAGTAGGACTTAAACCAGTTCAATGCTGGTCCATGTATACCATATTTCTCCAATTTATCAAATAATATGTCATGCACTAAACAGTCATATGCCTTTGATAGGTCCAAAAAGAGACCCAAAGCCATATGACCAATCTCAGTAAATTTCAAAATATCCCAGACAAATTGAAAAATCGCAGTCTGAGTTGATTTTCCCTGTTGATAACCATGCTGATTTGCACTAATAATATGACATTTTGTTAAAAATTCTGTTATCTGCCTATACATAGTCATTTCTAAGATTTTTGAAAAGGAACATAGAATGCTAATTGGTCTATAGTTATTAATTAATTTAGGATCACCCTTTTTGTAAACAGGTGTTACTATGGCAGTTTTCAGGCATTCAGTAAATACACCGGATTTTAGTGAATTATTTATGATTGTAGTGAGAGGATTCACTATCTCCTTTATACAAAGTTTAAGGATTTTAGTGTTTAGTTTAGGATTTAGGATTTTTTAGGATATTTCATCAATTCCACAACTCATTTTGTTTTTTAAATTTTTAGTTATATCCATAATTTCAGTTTCTGTCACAGGTGCGACAAACACTGAATTTATGTTACTTGCAATGTTGTCTTTATATTCAGTGTATTGTAATTGAGATGAAGTGTTATTTAAAGAAGTATTTAAGTGGATCATGTATTTATCAGCAACCTCTTGAGGACTACCCTCTACTTTTATTGAATTTACACTTTTTAATTGACCATTAATTTCACTAATAATTTGCCACATGCATTTATTTTTGTTGGCAGCTTCAGACATCCTGTTTTCATATAGCTTTGATCGTTTTGTTATTAGTTTCTTATTATATTCTTTTTTTACCTGTCTATAGAAACATAGAATTTATGGTTAACTCTGCTCATTGTAAACAAGATGTCTAAACAAGTCTTACATTCTATTATCTCTGGATCATCTCTTTTATTAAGGCCTTTTATACGTTGCCTAGAATCCTAACTTTTTAAAAGGAAAGCACTGATTGAATATATACAGAAACTGATTTAAGAAAGTATTCCATTGATCATTTACACATTTGTAACTTAAATTAAGCCAGTCATGATTATGTAATTTACTTATACAGGTTTCAATATTATTTGTACTAAAATGTCTTTTCATTTCAAGAGTATTCGTTTCTGCTTCCTCTACCTGAAAAGTTAATTTTTGGGCAGAATGATCAGAGATTCCAGCGTGCAAGACTTCTACTGACACATATGATTGCATATTTGTTAGTAAGTTATCTATACAAGTTTTAGATGTGGCAGTTACTCTAGTGTCTGTCTGTCTCTAGTCTCAATTACATGATAAATATTATATGAGTTAATTAACATACAAAATTTTACTTTATCTAATGTGTTATTCTTAAGATCGATATTGATATCTCCCCCTATAATTATAATTGTGTTTTCTATCATAATTCTTCCCAGTATAATATCAAATTTGTTTAAAAAACCGGCCAGATCGCTACCTGTGGTCTGTAAACTGATGCTATAATGAGTTTGTTATTACCTATATTAGCTTCGCATACAGCACACTCTATTACCCTATCTACTGATAACTCTTGTATATCCTTTCTTTCCTGGCCAATGATGTCTTTACTAAGATATATAGCTATTCCTCCATGTTCATTCACATTATTTCTACAATGACTAGCTGTCAGCACAAAATTGTTAATTCCATATTCACTTAATTCTTCTTTAGTTTTCCAATGTTCTTTTGTGCACAGTATTTTACAGTCACTGTTGTTTGTTAGAAGTTCTTCTATTTCAACAATACAATTTCCTATGGATTGGAGGTTCTGGTGGATGATACTTATATTCTTTGCTCGTGTGACTGTGTTTTGTATTTCAATTTCCTTGTGTTGATGTGTCTTGTGCTCTCTATTTTCTCCTATGAAAAATTTCCACCTCGGTTATCTAGAAAATCCTTATGACGATGCATCTGGAACCTTTTTATGCCAACACCATTAGGCCAAAACTCTGGTTTATACATATCATCCTTATATTCAAAGGGAGCCGATACAACAAATCTCTTCAACATATTTTCTTGACTTGGCAATTCCTTTACCATAATAGACTCATGTTGCATTTTCCTCTTTTCTATTAGAAATTTACGTATCTCCTCTTGTTTTGTTGTTCTCTTCACTCTATACAAGTATAGCCACACTTTTTTCTTTTCCCCTGCAAAACCACTTGTGCTATCGTCATCGCTTACTGCCGTTCCTATATCTTTTTTAGTTATGTACCGATGTCTCCTGTGTATAACTTTTTGGAACCCATCTGAGTCACTATCGCTGTTTTCCTCAGTTATTTTATGTTTTTTTATTTGCTCATTAACCTTAGTTGTTTGTTTATTTTTGAGGTTGACATTAATGTTGTCACTTGTCTTCTGTTCAGAGGAACTACTTAAACTTTTTGACGTTTGAACTACTACTTCTATGAATGATCTATTTTGTGTACGAAGTGGTACCGACCTTGAGAATTTTTTATCAACAGAGTGATCCATTATCTGATCTTGTTTATTTACACTGTCGTATTCAGTTTTTTTGCGGTTTTTTGCTCTAGACAACTTACTTTTTGGCGCAATAAATTATTGTTTTCTTTTAATACAACATTTTTGTCTTCCATTTCCATAATTAGTCTTTTTAAGAGGTCATTTTCTAATCTCAGTTTGGATAATTCTTCTGTAGTTGACATCTCGTTTGTTTCGGTATCACCGCCTTTTTTGTCACAGCATATTATGATATTTCTCACATGTTTCAAATCCACATCTTTTTGCACAGCTAGAGTGAAAAAAACTATAACAATATTTACACACAACTATTTTACACTCTTTTTTAGCGCAGCATTTAAAATTTATTTCAAAGTTTTCACCATCAATTGGCCGTACGTCTTCGACAGCGGCCATCTTGAAATATGTATACAATATATTTAATAAATACATATTATCCATTTAAATTTCAATGGGGAGCAGTAAAAAATCTGTATTTTCTTTCTGGACGCCAGTCTCGACGTGCTGATCAAACGCTCTGTCTCTTATACACCTCAGCATGAGCCCACAACTGATGGCCGTGTTCAGGGCTTTAACAGCTTCAGCAGCAGAAGGTTTTAAAGCAGGTGGTTCATCATCTACATCCACTTCCGTTTCTTCATTTAGAATGGCCCTTACAATTTCTTCATCCGTGAGTATACCTTGGGTGTCAATTTTTTTGTCACAGCCACCTGATACCCATTCTCGAAGCTCAGATTCAATAATTATTGTCGTGTTGTCTTGAGCCAGCTGAGCGACAAGGAGGCTTAAAATGATGTCTTTTTCGTTGGATGAAGAGTCATCAACAGCCACTAAGTTTCGGCTTAAGTTTTTCCAAGAAAGTTGAGTTAAACGTTGTGAAATGGATGAGCAACAATTTGCCAAATTGAAAACGACGTCTTTGAGATTAACTTTCATCAAAGCTACTACCAGATCCGTTCCACTTTGCTCGTCAGCAAGAATGTTGGAGAGTAAAGTTTTTCGATAGCGCAGTTTTGTGTTCTGGATGACATTCTGGTCCATTGGTTGACTCATACAGTGCGTTAAGTTTTTGATTAGGTATTGCACACTATACGGAGCGCTAAAATCGGCAACGTTGCAAATGTTCGTTCTCCGACCCGAAAATCTACACCGACAGAAAATCATTTATTTTAGTTTAGTAACTCACAACAACGTTAGGGATGTACTTCTCTGTCGTCCGATCTCATGTTTCATTACGTAAAGCCGATTTTAATAGTAGGAAATTCGATAAAAATGCACTGACCCTATCATTGCATTGTTATCGATTTTTATTAATGTGAACATTTTTTTGTGGTTGCATTAAAAATAAAAGCGTATTTCTTTAAAAAGATAAAATAAAAAATATACTCTTATTGAAAATTAAAATATTATTCCTAATAAAATAAAAAATAATTCTTTATGACCTACAGAAATGGTTCAAATAGTTGACCTTCTACGGCTGAACAGTACCCCAATCTGTCATAAAAACTTCTGCGAACAGATGAAAGAGTTTCTGCTGTAACAGAATTGGAGACTTCTCTTATTCGATTTTTTAATTCATCCAAATTTTGGGCTCTAGCCTCAGGATGAGCGTAGATTCTTCTTCTTCTTCTTAGGGTGCCTGTCCGTGCCGAACGTTGGCGATCATTCTGGCTATGATGATTTTGTTGGTTGCTATACGAAATAGCTGTGTTGAGGTCTTTCTATACCATGCTCTCAGGTTAGCAAGCCAGGATATTCTTCTTCGTCCTGGGGCTCTTTTTCCTTCAATTTTACCCTGCAAAATGCATTGGAGTAGCTCGTATCTGCCTTGATTTCTCATCATATGTCCCAAGTACTCCAGCTTACGGCTCTTCTCAGGATGAGCGTAGATAATGCTTTTTAAATGTCCCCAAAAAAAGAAGTCAATGGGTGTAAGATCTGGAGATCGCGCAGGCCACTTAATATCGCCTGTTCCACTGATAACTCGATTCGGGAAAGTATTGTTTAAATACTCCCTAATAATTCGAGCGTTGTGAACTGAACAGCCGTCTTGATGAAACCAAACATTCTCCAGATTTACATCAGGAAGATTGAGAATAGCGGGAAGAACATGATTCTGTAACAAATCGAGGTATACTCTACTATTCAAATTGCCCTCAATAAAAAATGGACCTATTATGTGGTCTCCTAAAATGCCAGTCCAGACATTAACTTTTTGAGGACGTTGAGTTCGGTAAACAACACTTCTGTGTTGGTTTTTCCGCGCCCAATACCTCGCAATGGAAGGATTGTGTCTTCCTACTAACGAAACAGAAGATTCATCAGTGAATAAAATTTATCTTGTGTGAATGTAAATTAGCCTTCGTTATTAGAGTTTCACAAAACTCCATTCTTCGAAAGTAATCGTCTGGATAAAGCTGCTGCGTTTTCGAATATTTAAAATTCTTGTAACCGTGCTTTTTCCATACTTTCGTTACAGTAACATTGCTAACATCTAACTCTCTAGCAACGCTTCTACTTGAACGTGTTGAATCTACCTCGATTGTTGCACAAATTTGTGTATCCCGGTATTCTCTTTCCTCAACTTTTTCTGGTAACACTTCTCGAGCGTGACATTTTCTGCAATTTTTGAGGCAATAACAACTCTCAAAATTTTTAACAATATTATAAATTGACTGTACACAAGGAATTGGTCTTCCCTCAAAAAACACAGAAATTAAATCTACACACTGTTGCAGAATTGCCATTATAAAACCATTTTATTATTTGAGCTTTTTCCGCGGCCATATAAACAGACATGATTACAAAAATAAATTAAAACTCTACGCTGTTACACCTTTAAACAACCACGGTATAATGACAATTAATATGACAAATTTGCCGACGGGCGACGTGCAACGACGAGTCAACGAAGCAGATATGTAGTGCAAGTCGACGACGCGCAGTGTTGCCATTTATAGAGTGTATACCTAATCCAAAACTTAACGCACTGTAGCTGTGGTATTGGGTGGTAAAAATATGGCAAAAATTTTACCATCTTCAGTACGAAGTTGTCCAGCAGCAAAACTGCCTCCTGATGGAGGTTCACTCGTGCGAAATGACACGTGAGAATATCAGGGGCGAATTCAGTTTTGAATCGATCCAAGAACAAATCTCTTGTCACCCATGCATTTTTTTGTTCTCGATACCATACGGGAAGATCACAGAACAGATTTGAATGTATGAGGCTTGTTAGCCGTCCCCACGGCAAGCAAAAGAAGTTTGTGAGTCACTGAAGCATTTGCGCAAGGCATAAAGGTGATTATTTCTTTCATAATTTTTCGACCAGAAGCGTTCTTTCCTCGAGATAACACCAATGTGTGGTCTGGTAACATGCGCCAAAATAACCCACTTTCATCTGCATTGTAAATTTGCTCAGGTGTCAAATTGTTTCAAACGCAGTTCGGAAGGGTTCGATGTCGTCGACATTACTCGAAAATTTCTCACCAGTAATTTTCAGATGTCTAACTCCATGACCTCGTTTGAAGTTGTCCAACCAACCCTTACATGCGCTAAAAGCTTGGTGATTTGGTGACATTTCACGATGGAAATGACGGGCTTTTTCATACATTTTATTACTCACCGGAACATGCTTTCTCCGCTGTTTCTGAACCACATAAACAACGCACTTTCTACCTTCGGACATTCGGAGAGTTTGATGGTTTTCCTCTTCCCTGGACCGCTTTCCATTTCGCTCTTTCCTTTGTTCTTTTTAATGTTCGTAATGGTAGATTTGCCAATACCGAACTGTTTTGCAATGTAGCTAGTTCCTTGCTGTATCAACTTAAGAATTTTTTTCTTTTGTTCGATATTCAGTCACGTGTTTACGTGGAGCCATCGCGATACAAAAGTCTCAACAGAACTAAATAATATGTAGGTGGACAAGGAAAGTAAAAACCGATGTTCGTCATGTAGATTCATGTCGACTCAATCGTGGGGGAGGTACGAGTCGCGCGAGCCCGTTGAGACTACCGCGTCGTTCGGACGCCCTTGGGTTCGGATTAACCCGATCGTACTGTATATGGTTATTTTTATGTACTTTTTATCTACTTAATATTTTTTTGATTATTCTATTTGTTTGTAGAGCTTCTACACATAATTCTAACGAATAAATGTTTTAATACGTTGATCGAGATATTTCCTTAAATAACCAAAATAAACACCAGGCAGGTACAACATCAAAAGATAATTAGAGTTTCCCAATAAAATAAATATAAGTTCACTTGTATTTACCTACAATTTACACAAACATATAAGAAAACATATCAGCTTTTAAAGATGGATATAAAACACCCATTGGTATGTGTAATAATAAAAATCCATAAGAAATTTTCATTTTTAGTCACATATTTCATAAAATGTCTAAAAACTTACTTCATATCGATGGGATAACCATCTTTCAACCAAGTAATTGTAGGTACTGGAAAACTATTAGCTGCACAGTCTAAAGAAACGTTTTGCCCTTCAACAAATGTTCCTGGCAAAGGTTTTGCAATAAAAGTAGGAGGCGTTACATGTAGTGCTTCTTCTTGGTCCCTATTTATGTGCAAAATAGCTTTATTGCTCAATTTATACGAGCTCAGTCCAGAAGCATTACATCTAAAAAAAAAACGAAATATGTATCTTAAATAACTAACATTACGACACAATCAAATTTTTATATTCAGAGATAATGCTAAAAATGTTTGGCGACATGTTGATCTGAAAGTTTAAATTGCTATAAATTCGCTATCCTACAAAAAAGTGCAACGTGAAGATAGCCTAGAATGAACCTATACGGAACAAAATATTGGTATTTGGCAGTTTTGCCATGGCCTTATAATGTATATGTTGTAAGCTTCAATATACTCAAAATCGGGTAAGAGCATATCGCACCCTCAGTGCAAGACTACAATAAGTCAGAATAAGTAAGTTTCGAGATAAAGACTTTGTTTATTTTCGTGCTAATATCGGTGAAATAAGATACAAGTTTAAAGAAAAATTAACATTTAATTATGATTTTGCATGCCTTTCAGCCTATATTACATTAACCAAAAATATAAATTAAAAAAAAATAATATTAATGCTAAAAAAAGTTGGAATTTCAAAGTTACAACACTTTTGCACGGAGAAAATTATTAATCACTACACATTTGGTATTAGAATTTTAAAGTTGTAACACTTTTGCATGGAGAATATGGTAAAAAGTGTAGACACATTTTCTGTTAGTTGTTGTCCTCTTCTCGTATATCATCTTGGGCTAAAATATTTTTATAAAAACTATGGTGGGCTTTTGGTATCATACCCGAATGACAATAAATCATCGGGTAAGTAAAGAAAAAATAATCCCCACCAGCAATCGGGGTTTAGTATGGTATTAAACTATAAATTTAATAGATTCCAAGAAATCAGATAGCTACCTATTATAGAATAAATAGGTACCTAATAAAACGGCTTATCGCTAGCAGCAATTTAATCTTTATATCTGCACATGTTTCTGATAGCCACAATTCCTTGGCTTTGTAATGACAATGTTATAACAGGTTAGAAAAATTATTTGTAAAACTTTCAATACTTTTATTTAAATTCAAAATAAAAGGACTAATATAAATATGTAAATCAGGCTACATTGAGTACAGTGATTAACAAAAGGATTGAAATTCACTACTTTAGTAAAAGTTGGGAATTACGGGGGACAATATGATAAGACAATTGCCCCTGAAGGTTACATGAAGATTTAATACAATTTGGGATTTAGTTTTTACAGAACAAGTTTTCTGAGAACAGATATTTTTAACCTGTCAGTATTGTTAATACACAAGTTTTAAGATAACTGTTTTTCCTTTCATTAGAAAAAATACTTTTTGGCTGTAAATAATTAGTCTTATTTTATGTGTTTTTAATCCAATCTAATAAGTAAATGGTAAATTTTATGGAAAATATAATGTTACACAAAGGACATAAAACTTACATGAATAGATTTGTCTCGTAAATCTTTGTTTATTGTCTCGTCCGTTAATGGATTATGTAGACACGCTGTATATTAAGATATTAAAATAACAAATATCTTACTTTTTTCGTGCATTTCATTGCTTGTTATCGAAACCATTGCAACGTTCCGTGCAAAACTGTTGTAACTGTTAGTTTAGAATTACAACAGTTTTGCACGGAACTTATGTAAAAAAAACGTAAAATAGTTAAACTGTTGTTGTTGTAATATTTAGGCGGTTAAGCATTTGAAAGTTACTAAAGTTTTACAGGGGACAGATATGCATGTTTTACAATCGAATTCCATGATTACTTCATTTTCATAAAATTTTGAGTTACTGAGGGTGCGATATGATATTAATTAATTAATTAATTAAGAAGCAAATTATGTGCACAAACACACTCCAAAACTGCAAGTAATTATTTTCATCTGATAAACATTTGTTACAATCTGACAACTAATGGTTTAAGCGTTCTGACTCTAGTGCCAAATCAATCCGTAAAATATTGAAGGAGAAATTCCACAAAAAAAATGTAATAATTAACTGCAATTATTATCGAAAGAAACAAATAATGAATCGTTCCATAAACTGAATCCATAAAATGATATATATGTCGTAGGCAAGTATGAAATCCAGGCATTTTTGCAAAAGCCTAGTCATTTTCGTAATGACTTGGCAGTTTGTATAACGTTTTCATTTTTACGAAATGACTTCACCCTTTAGGCATTTGCGAAACTACCGGAAACGGTAATTCTATTTTGAAACAGTGTTGCAAAGAGATCATATAATATAAAAAAAAATTTGTACTAATCTAATTCTCTAACCCTAGTTTTCCAATTTCCATGATTACAGATTACAGCAGTGTTTAGAAAAGTTTACATTTACAGTCTATGTAAGTGTACTATTAGGTCACATTTGTACTATTACAGATATTAGACATGGCTAATCGAGAAAAATTCTATGAACAATTACATAAATTTTACGGTTTTTTAAAGGTATTTACATCTGCAACAAATAAAAAAATTTCAATCAAGCATTACTACCTATTTTCCTACAAAGAGTTTACGTAGAGAAGTTACGTCAACTTACTAGAGTGAAATTTATGTAATTGTATAATATGTAGCCATGTCTAATATCTGTAATGTGACTTAATAGTACACTAAGACTGTACCTAAATGTAAACTTCTGTAAACATGTAGGTAATCTGTAATGTGTTGTAATCTTGGAAATTGGAAAACTATGGTTAGAAAAGTAGGTTCGGATAATTTTTTTTATATTATATGATCTGTGCCTAAATTGCAACACTGTTTAAAAATAGATGTTTACCGTTTCGGTAGTTTCACAAATGCCCAAAGGATGAAGACATTTTGTAAAAATAAAAACGTTATACAAACTGCCAAGTCATTACGAAAATGACTAGGCTTTTGCAAGAATGCCTGTATTTTATACTTGCCTACGACATATGTCATGGACTTTTTAAAAGATTGTATTGTATTCCTTTCTTTATATTTGACGCATTTAACATATACATTATAAGGACGTGGCAACACTGTCAAATACAAATATTTTGTTCCATGGAGGTTCATTTGAGGCTATGTTCACGTTACACTATTTTGTAGAAAACCCTATAAATTTGTTAGATTGAGCAAAAAATAAACAAAGGGGAAATCGTGCTTACATTGTTTTTATTTGCATTCCATTTGTAAAATGCAATGTTATTACTGGAATTTCCCATTTGCATACATAGCCTCAGGCAACAAGTAATTATTTATTATTATTCATGTATGCAACTATAAATCTACCATAATTTATTGAATAATAATTATAACAGGTAGAACTAATAATAATGTTACTAATATTTAAGAAACAATTTTTGTATTCTTGAAACATGAAAGTATTGCTCAAATAAAATTATGAAAGATAATTTGGATTAACTATAAATTTGGTTAAAATGATGCTGATAATGAATTCAAATTTACAATTTTAAAATGTTTCTAAAATTAACATATAAACTACTAATCTAGAGAAGGGAAGTGGCATTCAACATTAGTTTGGTATTAATAGGTAAATCCGAGTATAAACATTTATACATAATATCTGGACTTTAAAGTTAAATCCAAACAATTAAATTGGAATGACATTAAGAGATAACACAAGAACTAAGGTATATAAAAAAATACTTCTAAAAAAATAGTTGGAATATTTAATGTCTATAGTATGAAAAACTATCGACAACCAAATTGAGCATGGTCAGCCCCAAACATTTTATTTTTTTTTCCGTTTTTTTTATAAAGTTGTGTAAATTATGTCATGAATTTTGCAAAAAAATAAATGCTCAAAGTTACATTCACTTTTAATAATGCACAATCCGATATTTACAGAAAGGTCCAAGCAACATGTGAAGCAGTCAATTAATATAAATTTGAATACTGAGCAATTTTTAACCATTACCTGTAAGATCCTTGATCTGATTCAACAACTTCGTCAATTTCCAGAGCACCTGAAGGCAATATGGCCATTCTTACATCATCTATAATAAGGGGCCTTTCATCTTTAAGCCATCTAATTTTCGGAGATGGATTTCCAATGACGTGGCAAGCAAAATATGCACGTTGGTTGACATATACACTTAAATCACGTGGTTCTTCTTGAAATCCCACTAGATCTAGCAAAATAATAGTAAGTATATTTTGGACATAGCTGATAAAATGTAGTTATATTAATTATAACTTGAGAAAAATAAACTAATAAACATTATTTTATTGATATACTCAATATGATTGTAAACAATAATAGTATGCATTAGAAATGTCTGGAAGACAGAATAGAAGCTAAGAACGGCTCAACTTCAGGTACCAGCTACAGTGATTCCTCAGACAACATATGGAGCTTTGTTGAGAGTGACCATCCAGCCTCTAACTTCTCATGAAACTAGAGGCTGGATTTCTCTTGTAAATTGTTGACAACAGTATACTATAACTTTAAGAAAATAAAAGGAAGGTTTTTATTTCGAGGTCGTTTACAAATAGCAGAATTGGTTGAGAAAGATATCTAAAATATTTCCTAAATTTTCCTTATGGTATTTTAAATGCCGTAGCTCCTTTTATTTTACGTTATAAAAAGGCATATTGAAAATAAAATTAGAAATAATATACTAGAGACAAGATGTAAAGGAAATCATTGGTGCTCGGAATTTACTACCTTTTCTTTGAACGAATAATAAATAGAAACTTGACTTATGATGAGGTAAATCATTTGCATGAAAAGGTTACCGAAACATTTATTTCGCTAAAAGATTGTGGAGTCGATTTTGTTTTATTTCTCTTTGCTGCTTTTTCTTTCTTGCAGTGTGTATGAATTACGGATGTTAGCTACCAACATGACTATTCTAACGTTATTGACTGCTGCTTTAAAAAGTTTTATAGTCATTAAGTTGTACCAATCTCGGAGATTGCGCAGCCATGATATCCTACACCTTCCCGGATCTCTCCCCGTCTTGTAGTGCATTCTATCCTGTAAAATGATGTACAGGCTGTACCGATGTTCTTTACGCATTACATGGCCCATATTCCAGTTTGCGTCATTTTATGCTTATTTAACGGTCCTTCCTCATTATTTGTAAGACATTGTAAGAGATTCTCAGTATGTGTCTGTAGCACCACATTTCAAATGTTTCAAGGCGCTTCATCGATACCTCGGAAAAGGTCCATGATTCCACTAATAAAAGACAGAGAAAACATTTCAGCAAGCAGACCTTAATTGGGAGTTGTACATCTTTAAACAACAGAGAAAACATTTCAGCATGCAGACCTTAATTGGGAGTTGTACATCTTAACTACTGAAAATATTTTTCATTTAGATGAATACTGATCTTGCCTTCTCAATCCTTACTTTTATCTCCTTCGAGTCTTCCCACCAACTATTTAAATTTGTGCCCAGATAGCAGTAATTGGTGATCCGTTCTATTGGTTGTTGGTTGACTAACAGTAGTTGTCCAGGTGTAATTTTGTTTTTACTGATGGCAATATACTTAGTCTGCTTAATATTAAAATCTAAACCAAATCTTCCACTTTCCTCTTCTATTCTTGTAATAAGTGATATACCTTCAACAAGTTCCTATTGGGAGAACTTCATCATGTTATCCAAACAAAAAATCCTCCTAACGTCCAAAAATGGATTTTCTGGATCCATCCATAGTGATTTGACAAAACAGACTGGGTAAATGAGGGCCAATTTCACATATGTAGCCTCAACAATATGGCTGCTACCAACTTTAAAAGTTAGAAAATCCCTATTGGAAGACGCTTTATGACACAATCTGAACAAATAATCGCACTAACATTCAAAACTGGATTTTCTTTTCTAAAACATTTTGTAAAAATAACAATCTGCATCTTATTTAAGTTCAAAAATGTGTCCGAAATAATATTTTTAATTCGATTATTGGCTGCACGGTAAGTAGAACTCCCAAATGTCCTTGATTCTACTCAAAAATCACGCTAGGTACTTACAATTCATTATTTGGAATAAAACAAATTTTCAAACTAGTTTTGGCTCTACCAAACTCAAATATGAACAAGCCATCCCTAAAAGATAGGTTGTCTGATGTTCACTAGAAAAGTTTATACACATGCAATTGAATTCATCCTGAATTTTTTATGAATATATAATCAGAAATCTTAGGAATTAAAAGATTTCATAGAAGTTAATCATACACAATAACTTAAAAACAACACCAAGACACAGTAATCTAGGTAATCATCTGCTAGTTCCTTAATTAAGTATATCAAATTATAAAAGATTCTGAAATGAGTCTCTCTTTTACCTAATATTGTTGATTACTTGAAATATTTTACTATGGGATACAAAATGAATATAAAAAATAACTTACTGGCTATGCTCAGTTTGGCTATCCTGCTTACTATGGATCCTACATTTGGCAAAGTTGCAATACATTGGTATTTGCCAGTCAATCTTTGTTCCTCTATCACACTAGTAATATATAATGATCCATTGGTAAGTTGAGATCTATAAAACAAGAATAAAAAAATAAGTAATATTTACAATAATTTTACTTTATGATAATATAATTAAATATACCATTATTACTTGCTTCTAATTTGGTAATAATAATACATTACTTGTGAAAATTTATTTTTATTTAATATTTCAACCTTCTTAAAAAAATACATATTATAATGGAACTCCTCACAGGTGAGTATTAATATAAGAGATACTCTTATGGTATGTATGACATGCTGCATCATTAGTCTACCTTCTTTCAAGTTAAATCTCCAAGAAATTGAGGAAAAAATTTGAGTTACAATAAAATATGATAAAGCATTAAGCGGGCACAATTCAGATGTATATCAATAGTATCATAAAAAATAAACTTTCCTACCCATTGGCCTATTTCCAAATTAATATACCACACATTAGTAAGCAAATGACATATTGTCTAGTAGATCTGCATGCAAAAAACGTTATACTCATTGTCCTGTATTTATTGTCCTATGTGATATGTATTTGATCAATTACTGGATACAAATGATTTTTACAAATGACATTTATGTAATGATATAGTCAAAAAAATAACAAATCAGATGAGTCAACGATAAAGTTTTTTACATTTTCATAATGCATTACCTGTATGAATCACCAATAAAAGTCAGTTTTGATCCATCCTGATCCAACCACTGGATAAGTACACTGGATTGATGGTGGGAAGCTCTTACAACACAGTCAAGGACTGTTGATTGACCTGATTCTACAACTGTATCTGATGGTTCCACTGTGAATTCCAAAATATGTGCTGAAAAAATAAAACCAATATAGATTTTTGATTGATATAAGGTTGAATGCTCGAATAAATGAACTTTGAAAAATTAAGGCGAATATCGAGCACAAATTTAATAATCAAATCTTGCCCAAGTACTTTCGCTTTTTACAGCATCATCAGGGGCATTTCGTCAAATTTGCGCTATCCAGCAAGCGCAGAATGTAATAAACATGAAATTGAACATAAATTGTACATAACACTACACTAAAACAAGGACAAACAGTTTAAAATTATTCTACGCTCTACATTCTTGTCAGCAACAGGAGAGAGAACACATTCTTTCTTCTCTCTTCTGTTGTCGACAAGAATGTAGACTGTAGAGCGTAGAATAATTTTTAATAATTTTAAACTGTTTGTCCTTGTTTTAGTGTAGTGTTATGTACAATTTATGTTCAATTTCATGTTTATTACATTCTGCGCTTGCTGGATAGCCCAAATTTGACGAAATGCCCCTGACGATGCTGTAGCAAGCGAAAGTACTTGGGCAAGATTTAATTAATAAATTTGTGCTCGATATTTGCCTTAATTTTTCAATGTTCAATATAGATTTGTTACAACACATATATTTAAGTCATGTGTAATAAAATGTGTATGTATATATAAAATCAAATACTGTAAGCCCCGTAGTCAATACTTTCAAATCTATTTCTGTTAAAAAGTTTAGGCTTTTATGGCATATGACTAGTTTCTGTATATTGTCGTTGCAGTCTGCATTTATTTCTTCCAAACAATATCTGCTGTTGTAGTGAATATTGCAAATGCCAAATAATAGAGTACTCTTTCACAGCACACTATGTTGATTAGCATAGGTGTTTAGCGACACATTAAACTATTATCCTGCGATTTTTAGAGGTTGCACAGAAATTTAAAAACACCCAAAAGAGGTCAATTCACAGTCAAGTGGAGAACACAGAATTTGAAGAATGGAAAAATATTCCCTATACCACTGAAAACATTTTTTTTAAATTTTAATTATTGTTTTGATATGATGAAAAACTGCAGACAAAGTGGTATGCGATTGATGAGAGTTCCTCATTGGAAATTTGTACACAGCTGCATAAGCCAAAATGAGAGTAGCATATACTTGAGTGAACGTTTCTGGATACATAAGGTAGTACAACAAGGTTGCATTCTTTCTCCTAGATAACATAGGACACAGAATCTATGAATTAATCTCAAAGCTAAGTGAAAAAAGCAATAAATTCTGTTTAAAAAAAAACACCACATTAAAGAGTAAAGTGATTGTAATCAGTAGATCAAAAGAAAGATATCTTGCCCTGGCAAATGATGGTAGAATTGAGATTGTGAAGGGATTTATATAGTTAGATGCAAAAATCACTAACAACAATAATTGTGAAGAAGAAATAAGAAGTAGAATCGCTATGGGTCAAACTGCTGTTGTCAAAACTCCAAAGTGTTCAGGACACTCATATGTCCCATTATCGCCTACATGGCAGAGTCATGGATGATGAAATCAACATAGTAAACGAATCAATGCTTTTGAAATGTTCACTTGGAGGAGAATTCTAAGAACATCAGTAAACATTTTGGCCATATTATGAGAAAGAATAATAATATCTCAAAAAGTTGGAATACAGGAAAAACTATAAGGAAAAAGAGCCACTGCAAATCTCGTACCAGTCAGCGAGTCTAGGTATCTTCCAGAGTTGGTATTGTCTTGCTTTAGTGTGCATCAAATCTTTAATGGATCTGCAGCGACTATTAATGTACTGTTCTTATTCGAGTGACCTTACAAGTTTGTGTGAGTTTTATTTAGAGTTTTATGCACACAAAAGAGAACAAGAGCATCTTCATCAGCTAATGGAAAAATGTTTGGCTGAACAAAAAAATATGAGTATGATGACTCTGAGGATGAAAATGAAGTTGACTATGTTACAACAGGAAACTTGGGACATCATTCCATTCAATACTTTGTTACTTATTATGATCCAAATTGGATTCTAAAGGCAGTTCCAAACTAACTTGTGAGTCAATCTGATTCAATTCCTTTAATGTTGCCTGGTTATCTGATATAATTTTTAAATACATATCACTGCAGTTTCTCTTTATTAGTTCCTGAATTTGGAAATTATATTTAGGTTGCATTTCATCTCCAACTTTGGATGATCTTTTATTATCTCTCTAGATTTTTCCCGGTATCCTTTGCCCTGCTTCCTTCCCTCTTATCCGCCCTCTGTATGCTCCTACCTTCTCCATCCATTTTCCTTTTTCAAGATAAATTTTATATATTCTTCTTTGTAGTTGATAAAAAACAATCTCTCTAATGATTCTAATCCATGAAGTCAAAGCGAGAAAGCGAGAAAAAATTGTGCAAAAGTTCTTTTATAAAACTGTATGTAAAGTACATAATACTCTGTTATTAATATTCATCCTAGTTCTTGATTGTCAATGTCTCATACTTCTCTAGTTTGGCTATTATTATTAAAATTTTGTCTAGTGCCACATTTGTAGATAAACTAGTTCTTGTTCTGTCAAAACTAGGCAAACTATTGTTAGGGTTGAAGTGTATTTCTGATCATTGTTCCAGAAAGAGTTGTGTGCTGTTACCAATATTGAGAGAAGAATTGAGAAATAAGAAAATACCAACACTAATAAGGTTATTCCATATTTTATACATTCATACATTTTCAGGCATGGGCATAACTTCAGAATGACTGCACCAAATTAGATAATTCTTTTTTTGTCATATTTTTTATTATCAGAAGATTTGTGTAAAAGATAATTTTCAAAAATTGTATTGAAATATGTTAAATACAGTTTTTCTGTTTTCTGTCATTTTTAATTGCAATATAGCTAAAATGGCGCCATAATATGATTGATAAAGGAAGCTATAATTAAAAAAATAAATGTCATTATTGATAGATTGACTTAATGTCATAGCTGTATTTGGTGTTGTGGCTCCAAATAATAAATATGAAATTTCAATATATCAGATGGATAGGAGATTTGGACAAATCTCTTCATTTTCCATACACTGTAGTTAATTTAGCTGTCTACCCAGTTATGGACGACTTTATTTAACGAGGGAAAATACAATGCAAAGAGCTGAATGAATACCAATAACAACATTGAACAGCTACCTTTTCTTCAAGAGAAGGATAACATATTTATTGTTAAATTGATTTTAAGTTTAGTGATAAGTCAGAAACTGTTTATTAAAATAAAATAAAATAATACAAAATAAAATACATTAGAATAACATGAAATAAAGTAGAATAAAATAGAGTAAAAGAAAATAAAAAAAATAAATAAAATAATATTAAATAAAATTAAAATAAAATAAAGTAGAATAAATAGAATCAAATAGAATAAAATGGAGTAAAATAAAATTAAATAAATAAAATAAACAGTATCAAATGGACTGCAATGGAATTGTTTTAATGGAACTAAATTTTACAATAATTACATTTGTTTAGAGGTAACTTAATCAAATATTAAAGATTCCCAATTTTGTATTTTCTTTTCCCTGTTTGGCATAATTTCTCCAGAACCACAGAAAGGAGATTGCTCTTCTTTCTCTGGTTCTCATTTCCATATAGTTCTTGTGTTCTTGGACTTTTTACACTTGTCATTGAACTATTTGATTTTTTTTTTCTTTTTTGTGCATACGATCAACAAATATAGATACATATAGGAGAACATTTCAAATGGGAGAAATGGTCACATATAGTATACTTTAAAATACTGTAGATGGCGACTGCAGAAATTTTATTATATTATTTATAGTTTTCTATACATTTAAATTAAAAATTTATACCACAATATTGTTTGTAGTTCTAAAAATATTCAGTTATTAAAAAGTATTAAAAGTTAAAACAATATTTTATTTTCTACAAAAAAAATATGATGCATGAGTAGGCTTCGATCTCTAATTTTATAAAATGCAAACATTTAATGCTAAGCAGTTCCAGCCGCACTTTCATATTTCAGAAGCAGTAGTAGTTTGTGAACGAGGGATGTTACAGACACAGTGGTGAAAGGGTGATCACATAAGTGCTCCCTACTGGTATGGCAATGGAAGTAAAATCTAGTTCCTGAACAGCATTTACTAAAAAATGATAGTGAAGTGTGCTTCTATATGCATCTGTACCCGCTGCTATGATCTTTCTTGCTACTTCAATCACTTTTGTTTCAATTTCTTCCCAATGTGCTCCCACGCCTAGACTGCTTGGATTTGTGTTGAAATTTTGACCCCACTGCACCAAAAAATATTTCAGTTTGGCAGTGTTAAGATGTTTTTTTAATGCATATGTTGTATGCTTCAAATATAAAGAGAAAAAGCTTAAAAAGTACATTTTGATTATACTATTTTATGAATTCTGCAATTTTTCATTTATATGAAACAGTAACGAGTAAATATTTGTCTCTTTCGAGATTAATTCCAAACATCTGTTGCAATTTAGCAATTGCTAATTTGACAATTGATAAATCTATCCCCTAATCTAGCAAAGGGCAATTGCCAAAAAAAATTCTAATAATTAACTGCAATTAATCTCCAAAGAAACAAATATTTACTCATTCTTGTTTTATATAAATTAAAAATTGCAGAATTCATAACATAATATAATCAAAACATACTTTTCTAAAGCTTTCTTCTCTCTTTTAATTGAAACATACAATACATACAACATACATACATTATAAAAACATGCCAATACTGCTAAACCAAAATTTTTGGTTCCGTATTTGACATTTGACCCTATAATCAGCTTGTACTTTCGTTAAACTCAACCTAAATTCTTATTTGACAAAAAACAAAGAATTGTACAGTTTTCAAACAATAACTTTGTGAACAAAAAGTAATAAATTTCATTAAAGATTATGTTATACTTAGAATGAAATATTATATTTATTTTGAAGATCCAATATATGAAAACTTTAGTGTTGTAGTTCAGAACTACTGTAAAAATGGTCAAATATCATTTATTAATTGCATGAAAAAAACCAATCGATATACCTCATAATGAAATCAAAGAAATTATCGAGAACTATCACAAAAGTAAGCAAAATCATAGAGGACTAGACCAGTAGCATGCACTTGGTAACCTTAAACCTTATGAATTAACCACAGGTCACTTAGATAATAGTTCACCATTTGATCATGAACTAATCAACTGTTAATAATTATTATTACTAGTTACAAAGACAAAATCAAATTGCTATATGTAGATATTAAGGAAAGACACAATAGAACTCAAAGGAATGTAATAAAAAAAATGAATCAAAATGGAGAACAATTACCAAAGACCATACCTTCTAAAGTATTTGTTTGAGATGTTACTCTTGAGCAAAACTCATAGTTTTTGACATACCCCATATGAAATATTATGTATATATATATATATATATAAATATATATATATATATATATATATATATATATATATATATATATATATATATATACTAGGTTACAAATATAAATAATAATTATAAATAGTAAATACAAATAAATACTAATACTACTACATTTTGTTATTTTTCTGCTGAATTTGATGTAATATAATTTATAATTTAATATTTTAATATACATCTTCATTTATTTATATTTGTCATGACCACATCCCATACATATTGCGATTATTACAAAACCTCCCCTATAATTTCTACAGATTTATAGATATTAACTACCAAAAAACTTTGGAGATGTTGGTAATAAATTCATATTAATAAATATGTATATGGTTAGTAGTTCCTCGGGGACAGCCTTAATGCATATGATATTTTCCTTGCCTTGTTTTGTTTTTTATGATCATATTATTTATAATATTCAACTTTGTTAAATTAGCCCTTATGTTTGACTAAATGGTAGTAATATAAATTCTCAATAGGTATAAATGAGATTAAAATAATATCAGATATATTTAATCTCATTTATACCTATCAACAGAATGTGAAGTAAATAACCTACACAATTAGATGTTATCTATACAGCATTTTATCTAAATGGGCACTAAATATTCATTATCATATGTTTGTTTTATCTCCATTATACAAACAAAATTGTCACCTAAATCTTGATTTTGCAAAACAATAGAAGTTACTCCTAATAGGATTGCTAATGGAATGGATAATGTCAAAAACTCAAATTCATAAAGTTCATGATTACCTAATATTTTTTTCAGTGATAAATAAAGTGAGTTACCAACCCCAATGTTAATCCATAGATTTTAATTTTCAAACATTTTAACATACTCTAGGAAACAATAAAAATTATTACTATTAGATCATAATAACATTTTTAAAACAAATAAAAATAGACAAATAAGTAGTAGACAACCTATATTGTTTTTATTAATTTTTAGGCAAACTTTTAGCCCTACGGTATAGTCCTGTGTCTAAAATCTCTTTTAATATAATCATTTAAAGGTGTAAAATATGAATAAAAGAACATCATGTACCTTGTATTAAGCTTTGTATAGATGTCAACACAGAAGCAATCACTAATATTACAATGAACTTGGAATAACACATATAAGAACAGTTTTGGAACATTTTCAAAATGTTTCGATCACTTATTTATACAATTATTAAAGTTCATTTTGAAATAGATTTAAGTATATTTAACTATATATCACATTATTACTATCATTATCCCTAACATTTCTTACAGCTGCCTCCATTTTGAGTTTCAGTTTGACTTTTACTGGTTGGGTTTCGATTGTTTCAAAATCGATTACTAATAGATATCGCTAATTTCGATTGTTTGCTCATCTCGCATCGATGAATTCTACGAAGTATCGAGAATTTTCAACAATTTGCCTTTTAAAATACATTTTACTACTGCCAAAAAAAAAACAGAAAAAAGTTTCCTTAATAATACAAAAGGTCTCTTACAAATACGAACCACGGTTCCAAACTTGTATAAAATCCATTGAATTGTTGTATAACCTGGAATTGGCCTATTAAAATATCTACGCTAAATAACAATCTGACAGTACTCGCACTATTGCCTGAATAAAATATTGCTGTGATTTTTTTAACTTAGTACATTTCATTAATCTATTACTGTTTAAATAAAAATTATAAAATAAAAATATTATGTATAAAAAGCGCAAATTATTTGATTTAAAAATCGAAGGGTCTCAGCGTTTTTAACAGAAATAATTTAGACGATTTTCACATTTGGCCCTATTGAAGTTAGCTTCAAATGGGTTTGACAGAATGAAATATTGGTGTTTTGCAGTGTTGAAATTTATATTACAAATGACACATACGCAATTAAAAGCAATAAGATATTTAAAAACTAATATGTAACAATTACGAAAAAATGAAAAAGTAAATAGTTTTAAAATAGTGTTTAACAGTAAATAGTAAAATGTCAGTATAAATAATAAAATTTGAAAGGCATCTGTTGCAATCTGGCAGCTGGTGGTTTGAGGGTTCTGACTCTATTGCCAAATCTATTCGCTAACCTATCAAAGGGCAATTACCAAAAAAATTTTCTGATAATTTATTACAACTAATATCAAACTAAACAAATATTACTTCATTAATATTTTATATAAGGTATAAAATTGCAGAATCCATAAAATAATATGATAAAAATGTACCTTTTAAAAGCTTTATCTCTTTGTATTTGAAGCATATACCATATACATTATAAGAACATGGCAACACTGCAAACGCAATATTTCGTTCTGTGAAACTTAATTGACAGCTAATTTGAGGCTATCTTCAATGGGACCAAATGTGAAATATCTATCTTCAATGGGACCAATAATTTTTTATTTCATAAATAGTTTCCACCCTGTATAACGTAAAAATAGTTCTTTGAATATAATAAAAATTTTAAGTGCCCTGTTCTGTATTATACTAACGAAATTCTGTATATAACGAATATCTATGTCCTGTGCATCATTCAAACCCAAGCTACATTTGACATTGACGTAAGAAGCCAAAATAAAACACAAAGCTTAAAAATTATTTAATATTATTTTTAAATCATTATTCTTAACAATTTCGGAAAATAGCATGAAAATTATGTATAACTCTTCTTACTATCAGTTAATGTTACGGTAAGTATTATAATGTTGAGTTGATAAAAATAATAATTATGATTACTTTTAGGATATGAAACTGAGAAAAGATAAAAGACAAAAAGTTGCTTCAAAACGTTTTGATAATAGCTGGGATTTAACTATCCCTAAGAAAAAACGTATTCAAAAACCATCTATAAAAAAAGGAAAGTTCACTGTTAAGAACGTAACCCTCAACGAGGTTGCTGTTGATAATAAACTTTTGCGAATACCTTTACATAAAGCCAGTTTTAAAGGTAATATATGTGTGGTTTTCTGCAGGTTTTAATTGTCCAAAGTATTTAATTTTATTTCTGTGGAGTTTTTTTTAAATACTTATAGCCATTTTAAAATTGTCTGACGTTTTTCTTCATAAAACTCAGCAAGGCAGTTGTAAGACATGTATGAACCAAATATCAATTTTTACGCAGTTTCACTGCAGCTATCACTTTACAATTTTTTCATTGCAACTGGTGTGGGCAATGCAAATTATAAATAAATAAAATATTGGTATGGATTAGTATTGGTGAGATTAAAATGTACTGTTCTGACAGTTGAATTTGTTTCTCCAGCTATGTCCCTGAAAATATATCTGCAAAATTGTAAATAGATTTTTTGGAACTCACTCTACTAATGGAAATGAATCTCTAATCCAATTTGTATCTCATATGGTATACAAAGCACGTGGTGTTCGTGTATTAAGGTATAAAAACGCTTATTAAAAACTTAAATTTTTTTATTATAAAGAAGATCTTTTCGGAATTGTATCATTCCATCATCAGTTTACTAAAAGAGAGAGTAAAAATACCAATATTAAAAACAACAAAGTTAAAATTTGAACATACAAAAAGAGAAAGTTGGTTTTTTACTACTTACATAAAAAAGGTTGTTAAAAAACATTGTGTGGCCACATAAAAAATGTTCGGTGGACATCTGGATTTAAAAAATAATATTCTTCGTGTTATTTATTCAGGTAAATGCAATAGACTCTTGACTTGTGTAATATAAAAAATGAAACTGGGGCATCTTATATGACCCCCTTTAGTTGGTGAAGTTTTATTGACTTACATTACCTCTGATCTATGTTGGAGTCTAGGGCTAACTGATAGAAAGATGGTATGAAAAATCAGTTAGTACCCGTCAATATCAAGAGGAATGATGTGGTAGGAGCAAAGTCATTGTGCTTAAGTTTGTGAGTAGGCAGTTTTTAGTGAAGAAATGTGTTTTGTGTGTAGTAGGATCATAAGCAATTTTTGGTATTTTAAAAAACTGATGGGAGAATATAAATCAATGCGTGACTGTGATGCAAAATAAATCGGTATACCAAAGTAGGTAAAAATTTTATGTAATTTAAGTGGTTAAAATTAATAAATCATTTTAAGTGGGATGAAAAGGATGTTATTACCTAATTGTATCATTGTATTAAATAAGTATATATAAAAGATGGATTGTAATTTATGGAAGATGAGTCGAGGAAAAGAAAAAGAAATAAACGAGAAGGTAAGAAAGGGAATAGAAAGTGAATGTGACGATGTAAGCTGGGGAAATTGAAACTGATTGTGATAAGAGGTAGATAGATGTAAAATAAATATTTATAAGAAAATGTGTATGATTGTATGTGTATGATTAAATGAATCTATATAAAAGTAGAATTGTAATTTATGGAAGATGAGTAGAGGAAAGAAAAAGAAAAAAGAAATTAACGAGAAAGCAAGAAAAGGAAATAGAAGGTGAATATGGTGATGTAAACTGGTGATATTAAAACTGATTGTGATAAGGGAATAAAAGATGTAAAATGAATAATTATAAAAAATGTGTATGATAAGTGAGGGTAGTTATTGGAGAGGATGGGTAGTTGGATATTGGCAAAGGGGTGATGTTAGTGTATTAATGGTGACAAGTATAGAGTTAAGTATGAATGATTATGTAAGTTGAAATTTAGCTATGGGAAATAAAAAGAAATGTAGAAGTGAAGTAAAATTGGATGGGTAGTTAAAAGAGAGAAAGTTAGTTTAGGAGAATAATTGTCGATGAAGTGGGACGAAGTCTCTGTTGATGCTGGTGTGTGCTTCACCAACTACAGGGGGTCATATAAGATGCCCCCAGTTTCATTTTTTATATTACACAAGTCAAGACACACCAGCATCAACAGAGACTTCGTCCCACTTCATCGACAATTATTCTCCTAAACTAACTTTCTCTCTTTTAACTACCCATCCAATTTTACTTCACTTCTACATTTCTTTTTATTTCCCATAGCTAAATTTCAACTTACATAATCATTCATACTTAACTCTATACTTGTCACCATTAATACACTAACATCACCCCTTTGCCAATATCCAACTACCCATCCTCTCCAATAACTACCATCACTTATCATACACATTTTTTATAATTATTCATTTTACATCTTTTATTCCCTTATCACAATCAGTTTTAATATCACCAGTTTACATCACCATATTCACCTTCTATTTCCTTTTCTTGCTTTCTCGTTAATTTCTTTTTTCTTTTTCTTTCCTCTACTCATCTTCCATAAATTACAATTCTACTTTTATATAGATTCATTTAATCATACACATACAATCATACACATTTTCTTATAAATATTCATTTTACATCTATCTACCTCTTATCACAATCAGTTTCAATTTCCCCAGCTTACATCGTCACATTCACTTTCTATTCCCTTTCTTACCTTCTCGTTTATTTCTTTTTCTTTTCCTCGACTCATCTTCCATAAATTACAATCCATCTTTTATATATACTTATTTAATACAACGATACAATTAGGTAATAACATCCTTTTCATCCCACTTAAAATGATTTATTAATTTTAACCACTTAAATTACATAAAATTTTTACCTACTTTGGTATACCGATTTATTTTGCATCACAGTCACACATTGATTTATATTCTCCCATCAGTTTTTTAAAATACCAAAAATTGCTTATGATCCTACTACACACAAAACACATTTCTTCACTAAAAACTGCCTACTCACAAACTTAAGCACAATGACTTTGCTCCTACCACATCATTCCTCTTGACATTGACGGGTACTAACTGATTTTTCATACCATCTTTCTATCAGTTAGCCCTAGACTCCAACATAGATCAGAGGTAATGTAAGTCAATAAAACTTCACCAACTACAGGGGGTCATATAAGATGCCCCCAGTTTCATTTTTTATATTACACAAGTCAAGAGTCTATTGCATTTACCTGAATAAATAACACGAAGAATATTATTTTTTAAATCCAGAGGTCCACCGAACGTTTTTTATGTGGCCACACAATGTTTTTTAACAACCTTTTTTATGTAAGTAGTAAAAAACCAACTTTCTCTTTTTGTATGTTCAAATTTTAACTTTGTTGTTTTTAATATTGGTATTTTTACTCTCTCTTTTAGTAAACTGATGATGGAATGATACAATTCCGAAAAGATCTTCTTTATAATAAAAAATTTTAAG